TAGTTTCTATTTTCCTAACGATAATCGAATAATAAGTTCTCCTACATAATAGAAAATCAATAAAAAAAGGTATTGTCACAAATTTTTCTCTCACACAGAAGACGTAAATCAGGTCACCAAATTAGAACTGATCTAGTCTGTTAGCCTAGTTTAATATAATATGAACGAATCATCCCAAACTAGAGTTTCAAAATTCATCTGGCCTGGCAGGCTGGCCTGCTGGCATCTCTGGTTTGTACTGTCAACGAAAGTGATATTTTATTTGTTTATCTGTGTACATCCCTACTAATTGTATGAATTTTAGAAGTGAACTGTTGTTAGGCGTTTATACTCACGTGTATACCAAAATATTGCTTCTTTTTTATCGGAATCTGGATCATGATTATATTTCTTTTCAAATTCATTGATTCTGTTCAGCTCTGCTTCATTGTTTTGATAGACGAGTCGACAAGCACGGAGCATTTCGTTTTTCGCTTCTATATGATCGTGGATGTTTCGTGATAGCGCCAAATGAAGATCCAAATTAGATATGAGCGAGATGAACGGAGCATAATTCTCACTAAGAAAACGGGCTGATCGCTCAATTGGACGAATTGGACTTGTTGTATCGCTGAGAATATCACTGCGTATTTGTAAGATAACTCGATTGATATTTTGATAAGAATCTGTAAAATAGCAACTTCTAACATTTTTACAGTCGAATGTCACATCGTCCCTTTTCGCAATCAGATAAAGACTTAGTCTTGATCTATCAACTGAGTTGAGATAATCAAGACATGCTGCACGGTCTTCGTAGATTTCGAGAGAATCAAAAGCAGACATAAGACATTTTTCGAATTGATCATTCAGCGATGTACGTAGCCATATTATTTTGTATGGAATTCGATCAGATTCGTCAAGTAATAATTTCTTTGCATCATGCTGACACTTAATGTCAATAAACTTTTCGGATAATGAGTGCACGTAGTTGGGAGATGACCATTGCGCTCCATGGCCATGATAATGATATTCGTATACAAAGCGTTTAAGAACACGAGCCAAGTCTGATTTAGGATCCGCCAATGGAGATCGTGCACCACATGGCTGTGAAAAACAATATTTGTTTAATATAGTGTATAAAGCAGTTGGAAAATACTGATCTCAGTGAATGAAAATCTCTGAGTTACATTCTTCAAATGTAAATAACTCTATTTTAATAGAACCAGGAAGATAAAAATAATATTATTAATTTAGTATCCATATTTTTCGAATAATCATTGGGAATTTCTATAGAAAAAATCGTGCTTTTCATAAATGACAGATAATGATGTCACAAAAACTGAAGGAAATTAGTTGTGTTCCATCTCGTGAAGCATATTTACAGATGATCTTACATTTGAAATTAGCTGCAAGACATTCACAGAGAGTCCGTTCTTCTGAGAAAATTGACCATGTAATCGGGCTCTGTAATCTGGCTCTTAATTGAACATTGAAGTGTTTAAATTATATATACAGTATTTTATACTCTTTCAACTGGGAAATAATCAGCCTAATGTTCCGTACTTATCACTACTATGTATTCCACTTATGAAGAATATGCCTGATACTTAACGAAAAATAAATCTTGTTATGCTGCGAATATTTTCAACGAATACCGAAATTGATCCACAATCAAAGCAAACTTGATATGCTATCGAGATATATTTTCGTAACTGAATAATCGAAAATCATATTCCTTTTACTAAATCTCTGGTTATCATGTCTTCTCTAAGTTTTAATAATTTTAAGGCCCAATATCAATTTATTCGAGTTTTTTAAAAATAAGTGAAACATATAATTTTCATAGTAAGGACATTGATCAACATTTAAATCTAAGGGAAATTTTCATGATGTGAGAAAATATGTTATCTAGCCCAAGGGGGAAAGTGCAGGTACCAAGTACCAAATTTGCTCTTTGGTGCCGAGAAGGTGCTGAGGCGCCGAGAAGGTGTTGAGGTGCCGAGAAGGTGCTGAGGTACCGAAAAAGTGCTGAGGTGCCAAAAAAGTGCTGAGGTGCTGAGGGTTCCAATTCTGCACTTCCCCCCTTGATCTAGCCTTTAATATTTCGTTGGACGTCTTTTCATTCGAAGACATATAAACGATTCGGGGCTGGTTCAACTAGCATGTTGGTAACATCTTGACCAATGGCTCCCCATTAAGATTCGAGTATTCGGCGTAGTGTATCTTCGTTTTTTCTTGCCTAATGTTTCTTCACATGACGTTTAATCGGATGCATATCTGCGGAAGATGGTCGTCATTTCAACAGGTCAAGTCCTTTTTTCTTGACTCGATCCTTCACAATATGAGACGTACGTTTCGGATCATTGTCATGTTGGAAGATGATAATCTTTTGCAACTTCTAAATTTTTTATCGCGACCCAAAATGTCGGCTATGCATTTATTTTTATGTTTTGTGAAACATGATGTTAGGTAGTGGCGCTATCTTTAGACCACTACCTTCCTTTTCTTTTCTCTACTCTATCTTCTATGGATTGGTCATCTGGATGATCCATAAGGATATGTGTGGGTCAGTTTGTTTGTTTTAGTTCAGTTGAAATAAAGATAGAACCAGGAGAAGTTAGTCCACAGACTAACAATTGGTGCCGTGACCCGCTTCGACAATTCGTCGACTATGATAAGTTTTGTTTCTTGCTGATCGATTTCTCATTTTCTTTAGGATATATTGGTTCGACATTTATTTAATTATTATATTAAAATGAAATGTTGATGGTTTTTCCTATTACTGTGGAGTTATTGTTATTATTCATTTTCTCTTCGTAAACTTTATCGTTACGTCATCCTCTTTATTTGATTATTATTGTCATGTTTAATTCCTGATTGATTTGGTCATTCCCTTATGTACTTGGTGATTTATTTCCTGCTTTATATGGTGATTTCTTTGGTTATTATTTTATTTACTAGGTGATTTCTTTGGTTATTATTCTTGTTTATTTGGTCATTTATTTGATTATTATTTTTGTCTACCTGGTCATTTATTTGATTATTATTTTTGTCTACCTGGTCATTTATTTGGCTATTATTTTTGTTTACTAGGTGATTTCTTTGGTTATTATTTTTGTTTACTTGGTGATTTATGTGGACTATATTTCATTTATTTTCGTCATTTTTTTTGTATGGTAATAACTCGTTCAAATTATCAACAACTTTTTCAACAAGAAGCACAACGATTATCTGACATCGAAATTGAATCTCCTCAGTATTCCGAAATTTCTTTTAATCATATTGTTTACCGTCCTTTATTATCATCTATCATGGAAGAACAAATTCTGCACACTTTAGCTAAAGAACAAATTAAACGTCTTGCTAAATTTGGTGGTGCCCATCATGAAGATGTTGTTAAATGGTTATCAGATGTTGAAGAAGTTTTTACTCGAGCACAACTTCAACCATCAAATAAACTTTTAGCTGTACAATCATATCTAATCGATTCTGCTGAAAAATGGTTTAGATACAATAAATCTATTATTCTTGATTGGTCCACATTTAAAATTGCAATTGTTAAAGCTTATCAACCATCACTTCATGAAACATTATTAAGATTGGAACAACGACTACAATTATGTGATGAATTTGTTATGGATTATTATCATGATAAAATACATTTATGTTTACAAGCTGATTCGAATATGAGCTCGTCGATGATAATTCATTATTTAACAAAAGGATTAAAACAATCATTAATTGCTCATGTTGTTCGTCGACACCCAGCTACACCTCCTGAATTTCTTGCTGTTGCACAAGATGAAGAAAAAATTCAATTTACATTAAATGGTTTATCTTCTGCTTCACCAAATAAACCTGATCCTTATCCAAATGAAGATTTTCAAATGGATCATCAAGTGAATGCTGTTACACGTCCCGTTAATGATAACAATCGATCCTTTAATTGGCAACATCGTCAACCACTTCCTCAACCACTCATGAATGTACCAACAACTCCATTTTCATCTTCATCTCGTCGTTCTTATTCTCAACGTCGTCCTGTAGCATCTACTGCACGTCAATGTTATACATGTTATGGTTTTGGACATATCGCTCAATATTGTCCCAACCGAAAAAACGTCTAGTGAGGTATCCAGATGGTAATACCTCTACAAAAAAGAAAAAACCATCACCTTCTTCATCATCTTCTTCAATCCATGTTCCAGTCAACCATGTCCCTACTACAATTTTAGTTGATACCGGTGCTGCAATTTCTCTTATTCATGAACAAGCATTATCCAATATGCAACACAAACCTATTACTCCATGTTCATTAAAAGAAGTTCATACAGCAAATAGTGGCTTTATATCTCTTCTTGGTATTGTTAATCTTACTGTTCAAATTAATCATCTTGTAACACACGTTGATGCTTATGTCGTCCGTGATCTTATCTGTCCTATGATTTTAGGTCGGGATTGGATTCAACAAAATTATGCTGACATTAATTTTTGTACTCATCGTCTTTATCTCTATCATGGTCTTGTTTCAACTCCTTTACTACCTTCTCCTCGTCATGAACCAGTGCTTATGTCATTATCACATTCCATTATTATTCCTCCATTTCATCAAAAATTTATTTATGGTTCTGTACCTATTAAATCATTAGATGATGCATTATTTACACCTAATATTGCTCTACAACATGCTCGTCTGGTCCTGCTTCCTCATTCACTTCTTCATATTCGTGATAATCGTGGTGTTGTATCAATTATTAACAACACTCGTCATTCAAAATTAATTCCACGAAATACTCCACTTGGTTTTATTACATCATCAACTGCAACAGCTGATCTCAACGTCGTTTCTGCATCATCACCTATAAACTCTCCTGGGTTTTCTTCTTCATCTTCATGTTTATCTTTATTGTCATGTACACATTGTGGTGTTCATTTTTCTACTGAATTAACATTGTATGATCATTTAGTTAATTGTTGTAATAAAAATTTAACATGTACAACAAAGACTATTACTCCTTTAGTTGAACACATTACTGATCCTATTAAGAAACTGCAAGTTTATCTCATGCTCCACCATTATCACCAGCTTTTTGATGAATCATGCTCCCAAGGTATCACCTGTACACCACAATATGCTATCAACACCGGTTCTCATTCTCCTTTAGCTGAACATCCCCGTCGAGTCTCACACCTTAATCGTCAAATTATTAACAACGAAGTTAAGAAAATGTTAGATAATGGTATTATCGAACCTTCGAATTCGCCATGGGCATCTCCTGTGGTTATAGTTAAGAAATCTGATGGATCTCCAAGATTTTGTATCGACTATCGTCGTGTAAATTCTATTACTCAAAAAGATGTTTATCCACTCCCTCGTATCGATGATGTTATTGAACGTTTAAATGGTTCCCAAATATTCTCAAAACTCGATTTACGTAGTGGGTATTTTCAGGTACCCTTAGCACCTGAAGAACATTCTAAAACTGCCTTCACAACACCTGATGGTCTTTGGGAATTTACTCGACTTCCACAAGGCTTAAAAAATTCTCCTTCTGTTTTTCAACGACTGATGAATCAAACACTTGGATCATTACGTTGGGACGTATGCCTCGCTTATCTCGATGATATTATCGTTTATTCCTCTTCATTCGATCAACATGTATTAGACGTTAATCAAGTATGTCAAGTATTACATGCATCAAATTTTAAATTAAATTCGAATAAATGTGCATTTTTTCAACACGAAATTACATTTCTTGGACATAAAATCAATGCTCATGGTTGTTCACCTAATGATGATAACATTCGTTCCATTCTTCAATTTCCTTTACCTCAATCCAGTAAAGCTGCTCATTCATTTTTACAAATGGTGGGTTTTTACAGAAAATTTATTCCTCGATTTGCTCAAATCTCCGCACCACTTAATAAATTTACTCGTAAAGGTTTCCCGTTTATTTGGACAGAAGCAGAACAATTAGCATTTGATCAATTAAAAACTGCTATTACATCTCCTGCCGTTCTTATTCTACCTGATCCTTCACAACCATATATTATTCGTACAGATGCTTCTCGTGTTGGTATAGGTGCAGTATTGTTACAACAACAACCACCTGACTCTATTAGTACACCAACTTCCGCACTATATAAACCAGTCGCTTTTGCATCCCGAAGCTTAAAACCAGCCGAAAAGAAATATTCTGCTATTGAACTTGAAGCATTAGCTATTTGGTGGAGCGTTACTCAAAAATTTCGATCATATATTGAAGGTCAACAATTTCTCCTTGAAACTGACCATAAACCATTACTGTCATTAATGAAAAAACCTTATCACAATACTCGTATTGAACGATGGATGACGACATTACAGCAATATGATATGATTATCCACCACATAGCTGGTAAAGACAATACAACTGCTGATGCTCTTTCCCGTTATCCAGTTGATAGACCTGATATTAATGATGAAGATACACCTCATCTTATTACTTCTTCCACTCAAACTGAAGATCTTTTCGTCAATGCTGTTACAACTCGCTCGATGATACGAAACCATCCACCTGCTGTTCCTTCAACAACAACTTCATCCTCATCTCCTTCTTCCAAACCAACAACTCTACCTGTTACAACTTCATCATCATCCTTTCATGATATGAAGCTTCTCTTCGATTACGATACATTACTTCTACATCAAAATCAAGACCCTGTTATTCAGAAAATAAAATCTGCTTCTCCATTAAATCTTCAATATACACTTGATGATCATCGTATCCTTTATAAACTTATTACTCGTCGAACTGGTCAAGTACTTCAATTACCTTATGTGCCTGCTTCCTTAATTTCTCAAGTATTACTGACGTATCATAACTCGACATTTAACGGTGGTCATTATGGTATTAGACGCACTTTTTACAAGATACGTGATCGTTTCTTCTGGCCACATATGTACAAAGATATTGAACAACACATCTTATCCTGTCTTAATTGTCGGAAGACTAAACCTTCTCGTCGAAAACCTGATGGTCATTTACATTCAATTGCACCACCTCGTGGAGTATGGGAACGTCTGGCTATGGATTATGTTGGTCCTGTACCTCAATCTAAATCGGGTAATAAATATTTTCTTGTACTAACTGATCTATTTTCGAAGTTTGTTGTCACCAAAGCCGTTCCTGATAACACCTCAACAACAGCTGCTAAATTTTTATTATATGATGTCTTTATGATCTATGGTGTTCCATTCGAAATTATTACTGATAATGGTCAACATTTTTGTTCTTCTTTATATGAATCTCTACTCAAGTTAACTCAATGTTGTCATGTTAAAACCACACCTTATAATCCCCAAGCTAACGGTCAATGTGAAAGACATAATGCAACTTTAGTACCAAATTTAGTTGCACTTTCTAATCAATCTCGATCTAACTGGGATAATAAATTAGCCGCTACAACTTTTAATTATAATGCCACTCGACATGATTCTACTGGTTATACTCCATTTGAATTAATGTTCGCTCGTCAACCTCGTTTTACCGCTGATTTATCCTCATCTTCTACATCAACTTCTCTCACGGTCTCTCACTATCACCATACTATGCAACAATTTATTGAACATGCAAAAATTGCTGCTCGAACAAATAATCTTCGACATCAGCAATCATCTAAACAACGTTACGATCGACATCGCTCGAATCCTCAACATCCTGTTGGACAACTCGTCTTAATTCGCAATCGAAATCCACATATCAACAAGTTCTCCTCGAAATTCGTTGGACCATACACCATTATCGATCGATTACATGATAAAACATATCTCGTTAAAAATGATAATACAGGTCATCAAGCACAAGTACCTGTACACGACATTCGATCCCTTAATTAACATCTTATATTCTGATGAATTTATACTTTTCTATGACTCAAACCATACCTCATCATATACGCATACATATATATATATAAAAAAAAACAAAAAAAAAACAACAACTACCGATTAACTATAGCTTATCCTCAATTATATTTTTTCACCTTTACTGTATTAGTCTTTCTGTTCTCAGTTTGGATATGATTATACCTTGTGTTTTTTTTTCTTTGATCTGTTTTCTGTTTCTTTCGTTGATGTATTTTCGTTTCTTTGTTTGATGTTTATTTTAGTGAACAGATCTTGCTGTTCACTGGTAAAGGGTGGAGGTGTTAGGTAGTGGCGCTATCTTTAGACCACTACCTTCCTTTTCTTTTCTCTACTCTATCTTCTATGGATTGGTCATCTGGATGATCCATAAGGATATGTGTGGGCCAGTTTGTTTGTTTTAGTTCAGTTGAAATAAAGATAGAACCAGGAGAAGTTAGTCCACAGACTAACATGACGTAAATGTTTTAGCGGTAAATTGTAAAAAAATAGTACTCGTAGAACAATTCTTTATGGGTTGATAAAAATGCAACATATACGAAAATTTTACTTTGGGCAAACAGCATCTAGCCAAAATCTACCACTCGAAGGAGAATCTTGATAAAAAAAAAATTATCTAATGAAAAAAAAAGCGAGGCTTAGTTGATTGCTAAAATTCCTTGAAAAATATAAAGACTTTGTATGAGTGGACTTTTTCTATGTTCTTTGTCTTGCTTTCAGATTAAATAAAAACATATAGAACTTGTTGAACATCGTCTATATCGATTTCATAATCATAATAGATGAACAAGGAAATTTCAAGATTTATCGAGTTTTTACTCGATACAGAAGCAACATCGGAATTATCATTCATCGAAGCGACTGCAAACAAATGTCACTTGTATTGCAAACGTAACAAATCAATTTTTGAGAAAATAGTAAAAGAAAAATTTCAACAATGGAAAAATTATTACCAAAAAGAGGAATGCGCACTTGCTGCAAGGCTAACTATCAATGCTGGAAATGAATTGTCCGATAATGAATCCGAAAGTGAGTCTGATCAGGAATCATCATCGGACGACGAAGAGAACAAACCATCTCAACAACCAGTACATAAACAAGACCAGGTTGATTATTAAAATTTGTAGGTTTTAATTCATAGAACTTTATTTTCATAGACATTCAAATCGGTCAAACACGCTGATATCTACATTGACCCATGTAGTCAATGTAAACGACTTCTACAATTTTTATACTATTGTCAACAACACAGCAATGATATGGCCGATCTTTATTTTCATACGCTTAAAAATTGTGTTAGAAATGAAAATGAAAATTTGAGTGCTGTTGCTTTACAACAAATAGCTTTACATATTTCCGACGAAGAAGAAGTATCTCAACGTCTTCTTAACTGTCTTCCCGCAAATCAATCATCTTCTGCTGCACCTAAAATCCATCAACCTATCTTAAAGACAATTCAAAGTCTAATTGCAAGAAAAAAAACTAATCAAAACATCCTTACCATGATGTCATCAGACGACTTCGATATTCTCTACCCATATCGAGCTCGTTTTCTTGATTTACATCGTGAATTTCGTGACAGTATGCATTATTTTATTGATGGTGATTCATTTCTTCTATCTATTGCTCATCATATCAATGTTGATCTTAATGCATACTATGGCAATACTTTACATGTTGTTTTTATTATTGAGCGTATCCTGCAAACACTATTCAATCAAGCACAGCAATGTAATTATACCTTAATATTTTTCGACTGCCATTATTATTTATATGAAAACGAAAAATCTATATTGAATATTTTACGTGCTTGCTTGATTGCTCATGTTTTTTATAACATAAATCAATATGGATCAGCCAAAGTACGACAATTCTCATCGTGGATTGACGCCGAATATGTAAAATTTATTCGCGAAGAAAAACCACTGTTTATTTTCTATCATGACATGTCAAGTGTCGATGTTTGTAACAATAGTGTTCTATCGAAAGCGACATTAAGGGAACTTATCTATGTTTATCGTTTATTTGGTAATTATCATCAATATTATCTTGAATGTAGTTTATATCTAATGAATAAATTAATTCTAACTGATACAGTGGTGAAATGTTTTCAAATTAAATTCACGGAAAGATGTTCACAGACACAACTACAAACGACCATTAGATTAGTATTATCGTCTCATCAAACTAATATTATTTTGGATAAAGATGATGCAATCAAATTGGAAAAACTGATAACAAATCAAGATGATGCACGACTTTTTTTCTATCTTAAAACCATAATGACTTTCATTCGGAAGGAAAGTAACGATCAAACAAAGAAAGAAAATTTGTTCAATCTTTTAAGTCCACTACTTGTTCTACATGTTGCTCTTCTTATTCGTTTATCATTAATTGATCGTCATATACCAATAAACTTTCCTTCGATCACATTTAGTTCGATGTTTTCTCAATCGATGATACAATTTCAGCAACAACTGGCAATATGTTTATCATCGTATGTATCAGATTTATCGTATTCAAAAGTCGCTGATATATTCGATGGACGTCTGTTTGCTTTTACTCTCTATCAATTGAAAGAATCATCGTCGAAGATTCGATTTGATTCCGATACAATGAATATTATCAAGCAATGCTTAAGTTTATTGAACATTTCAATGCCTGAAAATCTGTTTCACAATATAGTAAACCAATTAATTCAATCGAACCATATTATATTCTCAACATTAGCCACTGATGAGCAATCAGTTTCAATGGAAAAAAAGAAAATTGCAAAAATATCCAATGCATTCATTGATACTTATTTAGCGCCAATAATGTCAAAAAGTGATCAATGGACGTTTGAATTTACCGATCCAGATGATAGTTCTTTAGCTCGTTATGAAGGTACACATTCTGTTTGTCCTATAATGCGTCAGCTATTTAAATAAATTTTGTATTCAATAGGAAAATATCATTGGCATGTATACAAAGAGGTACGTTTGCTAATTACTCAGTAATCTACTGATAATCTATTCTCAATTTTTTCAGGTTGGTGATGCGCTAAGTCGTATAAGAAATAATGATGATGACAATAAAAACACAACCAAATATCGTTTCCGAACAAGAACTGAACAAAGATTGTAAGAAAACATAATCATGTGACTGTACATGTCGTTACAATTATGAGAGTGCAGGCTTAGGGCAGATAAAAGGATTGCGCATACATGCAACTTCTCCCTTGAAACATTTTCGCTTGACATCACAAAATTCAGTAATTAACTTTAATTATTTGGTTCTTTTTTCAGGGATTAATGAGTTCGAATAAAATTCGGGTCGAAATTCCTGTAAATCTCACATAAACTTCGATTAATGTGCTCCGTTTCTTGTTTATATTTCTCATATCTTCCATAGTCTCTGCTAGATATTTTCCCGTTGTAGAATGTAAGTGTGACCCACATGCATTTGAAGTAATCTATTTTAATCTGAGCACTGACTGTTTTTTTTCACCTTGTACATTTTTCTATCTCTTATAGTTTCGCTTATTTCACTTTATACGGCAAATCATTGACTAGTCGAGATGTTCGAGATAATCAATTACAAATAGTATATCCTGCTACTTCATCCAATACGTCAAATAGTGAAGAGCTGGATTTGAATAGAGTAGCTTCAGCGTCTGGAGATAAGAAGAAAGGAAAAGGAAAACAAGCAGTTCACCAGACAAAAGCGGAAAAGATTATTGAAGAAAATAAACAACGAAAACTTGATAAATCTATTGGCAGTGAACGTGATCAAGTTACTAATGTTGAAGTTTTATTGAAACAAATTCCACTTGGTGATTATTCAAAAGCTATCGAAATAATTGATGAAAGTTTACCGAATTTTAAAACACCTGTTAATCGTATTGAATTGCTCAAACAAAAATTTCGTTTACAACGAAAATACTTAAAATTACTGAAACAGAAAAATGTTTTATCGGTAGAAGAAAAATTCAAATTAGATTATCTTAAAATTGATTTCTTTGGTACAATGACAGAAATGGCCCACATCGAGAATACGGCTGATGTATTTAATCAAAAACGAGAATATTTAGAAGAACTTGTTGATGATTCATCGTTAGATCGAGAAAAATGGTACCGATTTCAAATGGAAAAAATCAATAGTCGATTACCACGACATGAACAAGGCTTACCCGATGATCGAGTACCTGATTTCATTCCCGATAAATGGCAAATTGAATTTCTTGATGCTGTTGATAAACATCAATCTGTCATAATTGTAGCACCTACTGCTTCAGGTTAGCTCATTGGTTTCTCTAAATAATTATTTTCATTCATTCATTTGTTTATTTATATATAGGCAAAACTTATGCATCATATTATGCTATGAATAAAGTGGTCAAAGATCAAAATGATCCAAATGGTATTTGCGTATACATAGCACCAACGAAAGCTCTTGTTAATCAAGTTGCTGGTAGAGTAATCGTATTTTTTCTTAATCTAAATCAATCTATGCATAAATTTTAGCGACAATTTATTCTAAATTTGGTCCAATATTCGGAATTTTTACACGAGATTTTCGTAGGAATATGAATGAATGCCGAATTTTAGTCACTGTTCCACAATGTATGGAAATCCTTCTTCTATCACCGAATCATCAACGTTGGTGTAAAAGAATAAAATATGCTATTTTCGATGAAATTCATTGCATGTCGGGTGAAATTGGATCTGACGTTTGGGAAAAAACGATGTTACTTATTAATTGTCCTATGATTGGTCTTTCAGCCACAGTTAACAACGGAGAAGAAATGTGTCAATGGATTGAACATGTTGAAGAACAACGATCTAAAATATTTAAAACGCCGAAGCCTCGTCGAGTTCGTTTTATTATCCATCATGAACGTATGGCTGATTTAAATAAATATCTATATTCAAATCGAGAGCTACATCCAATTCATCCGATCGGTGTAATGAACGCAAAACAACTAATAACTCGAGGTGTTCCCAAAGATTTTTCATTATCACCTTATGAAACTTTGCAATTGAATGATGCTATGAAAACATTTCCGAATGATACAAAGTAAGTAGGACATTTATGTGCTCTACGACCAACACTTTTTTTTACGGCTAAAAAAAATTATTATTATCAAACTTCCTATGATAAAGCTAATTGTAAATGTTTTTTCATTTCATGATAGAAACAATGAGATGAAACCTAATTCAATACCAACATTAACAGAATACTTTTCACCCGATTGGGTTATCGAACGAAGTAGATGCAATAATTATTCTCGACTCGTTTGTAAGCAATTCAATGATCTAATTGAAAATAAAGAAAGTTCATGTATTGATTCGATTGCAACATCTCTTAAACCAATTACTTCAAAAGATATTCAGTATCCTGAACCAAAAGCAATGTCATCATTGATAATTGATTTTATATTGACATTGAAAGAAAAAAATCTTCTACCATGTATGGTTTTCTCGGACAATCGACTATTATGTGAACAGATGGCTACATCTATTGCTGAATATTTTGAAAATCTAGAAATAGAATTACGAGAAACAAAGTATAAAGCTCAAATTGAATCATTAAAAAACCGTATAGAAACAATGGAACAACTGAAGAAAAAATCCAAACCGAAAAAACCAACAAAGCCAAAGAAGAGAAATCACGATGACAATGAGACTATTGAATTAGAAATGCCAGAAGAAGAAATAAATGATTATATAATACTTTCGGGACATGAACAACAATTATTGGATGGCATTCTGGATGAAGGCACTTTAGCAAATCGAAATGGATGTGACCGAGAATTAGTCGATGATCTATTAGAGCGAGCATCATCGGAAAATCCAAAATTAGTTGGTTACATACGACGAGGTGTAGCTTATCATCATGCTGGATTAAATAATAAAGGTCGAGTGGCGGTTGAAGCCCTATTTCGTAATCGATATGTTCAAGTTGTTTTCTCAACAGCAACACTTGGTATGTAATTACAATATACAGGCCAAAATTTGTCTGAAAACTAAAACGAAGGGTCTTTTTCTTTCGATGTCAGCATCTAGTACAAATTGAAACAAACACTTCATTAGCTGAAATATGAGGAAGATGATCAGGAATATTTTTGGATGCAAAAAAAGCTTAGAAAAGAAATTCCTAACACCCTTTTCTGTTTTAATTTTCGTTTTAATCATATAATCAGTGAGAATTCTTAGTGTTTTTCTTTTCTGTTGCAGCATTGGGTATTCATATGCCAACAAAAACAGTTGCTTTTGTTCGAGACTCAATTTACCTTGATGCTTTACAATATCGCCAATCGTCAGGTCGTGCTGGTCGTCGTGGTTTTGATGTTCAAGGGCATGTTGTATTTGTGGACATACCATTGCCAAAAGTTAGCCATTTGATAACATCAGCTATACCGAATATTCGCGCGCATTTTCCAACAAGTGTTACATTTCTATTGCGTCTTCTTCATTTATGTTCAACTGCAAAAGATTCCACGGATGCAATTAATCGATCATTAATAACATTACAATGCCCTTTACTTTCACAATCGTCATTAAACCAAAATTTGATAGACATTCAAACACGTTTTCACAGTTTATTTACATTAGATTTTCTTTATCGATTAAATTTGATTGATCGACATGGTAATCTTATTGGCTTAGCTGGTCTTCTAACGCATTTACATTATCATGAACCAGCAAATATTTTACTCGTCTATCTAATGGATACTAGATATTTTCATATAGTTAAAGATGGCGTAGGAATTATGACTGTATTCGCTTATCTCTTTACTTATATGCCATGGTAAGTAACTTATCTATTCTATTATATATATTTATAATTTTTATATTAAAATTCTAGGTTAATTACACGTAACGAATATGCAAATTTAACTGATATACGCCGCGAAAATAAATTTAATTCGAAATTATTTTTACCACCGGTTTCTAAAGAATTTCGAAAACGTGTTGATATGTATAATTCAATAGTTAAAGATGTTTATGGATGTTATATAGAAAATGTAACAAAATATTTACGTTCAATGAAAACCGATCGTGAAGAGACGTTACCTTTTTCGAATATATCATTTTCTGAACAATCAGACTATGACGATGGAACATTTGAATATAATCTTCATCATCACCAATCACAACAAATAAACAATCCATCGATATCTCCATTTGCTAGTCTATCTGGTCTTACACATGAACGTTTTATGTCGAATTACAATGCCACAATTGGCTCATGGGATCTTGCCTATAATCTTGACTTCTCACCAAAACTTGTTCCATACGTAGATATCGATTGTCGTGATCATACAAATACAGCGTATCATTTGAATAGTTATGCATTGGATTTTTTTAAACAAGGTTCAGAAAAATCATTGATTGCAGAAAATGAATTAAGTCCTGGAGATACATATAATCTTCTATTTGATATTCATCTTGTACTTTCGTCTGTTAAAACTTCGTTAGAAGTAATTATAAAGAATGAAAGTAAACAGACTGCAAGCAATGATTTAGAAATATTTCGTCCATTATATAAATCATTATCAAATGTGCAAAACATCTTTGCAAACAATTTTAAGAGACAATATCCAAGTAGAAAGCAATTGTAAACAAATTCATCACGAACATTTCATTTCGTATTATGAAATGAAAATATAGAAAGACTTTGTTTTTATTTTTTTTAAATAAGATAAAATGAAATAAAAACTTGTATTTTTCAAATTATCTTTTGGCTTTTTGTCTGATAGTTATGAGGGACAAGCTGTCAACAGAGACATTTTGTAATAATTAATACTGATTTTAATTGCATTTCCTACATAGGAGACGTCAGCATTCATCTATGCTTTTATCTTTATTGTGCTACCTGTTGGATTATATTGCCTCAATAAAACGTATGTATATCAAACAGTGGAAGATCAAAGTAGGTAAGACTATGTATTTAGATCAAGAATCGCATCTTTCTTCCTGACATTTCTCGTTTGATAATCAGCCTCAGTGATATTTTTAAAATCTCACTATCATTTGTATTACCGCAATCTTGAAGAAAAAATCTGCTCATCACACTTCCAAGTAGGAAATTTCCAACTTAAGATAAAAATTCAATTGTTCTGTTTATAAACATAATGAAATGTATTTCAAAGTTGGAAATTTCTTTTTCAACATTGTCAACGTTGTTTTATATTTCTCGTTGATATGAAAACACTACAAAGGTCATTGAATTTTGTTCTTTTCTTCACTCACGTGCCAAGCAATGCTGCTGTGTTCGTGAATCATAGCTGCCAAAGAGAAAGAAATTTCTCAATGAGCGAATAAATTTAAAAAAACCAAATTTGAAGAGACACTGGGTATAAAGAAGACGCACAGACTCCTTTCATTCACACTCAATTTCTGATTTTACAAGTCATTATCAACAGTTAACCAACAAGTGGGTCTTTCTTTGATCATACGAAAAATAGGAAGCAACTCTTTGTTATTCTCTAGATTTCAAGCATGCAAATCTTTGTCAAAACCCTTACAGGCAAAACTATAACTCTTGAAGTTGAAGCACAAGATACGATTGAAAATGTTAAGGCTAAGATTCAAGAAAAAGAAGGCATTCCACCCGATCAACAGCGTTTGATCTTTGCTGGTAAACAGCTGGAAGATGGTCGTACACTTCAAGACTACAATATTCAAAAAGAAGCAACACTTCATTTGGTTCTTCGTCTTCGTGGTGGCATGCAAATTTTCCTTAAGACCCTTACAGGCAAAACTATAGCTCTTGAAGTTGAAGCACACGATACGATTGAAAATGTTAAGGCTAAGATTCAACAAAAAGAAGACATTCCACCCGATCAACAGCGTTTGATCTTTGCTGGTAAACAACTAGAAGATGGTCGTACACTTCAAGACTACAGCATTCAACAAGGAGCCACACTTCACTTGCTTATTCGTCTTCCTGGTGGTAAATAAACATGAAAATGAATTATTTTATATATTTTTTTCAAAATTCCTTGTACTGAAACAGTTTTCTTTTATTGATTTTCTTCATAACAAAATATTATATTATATCATAAATAAATATGTTTCATCCTATGATTAGGCATTGTTAATTTCGTTTAACTTGAAATAAAAATTGAAGCATTTGAAAATTTGAATTTTTTGCTCTGCGCGAAATTATAGCATAATTTGTTTAGAAGTTCTACCATTAATTAGTAATTTTATTCATTTCGAATATTCACTTGGTTCTATATCAAATGTGTTAAACAGGATATTTTGTAGAAAATTAATTATTTTAGTTAAAAGAAAATTACTTCTCTGCATTGCAAGCTTCAGTTTATAAATCGATAACTAGCGACACCATTTTTTTATATACTGTACTTTACAGTCAATCCTATTGTCGTTTCATATTTCAAGCAAGATTTTTCTAATGTAAATCTTTACTAAGTTTTAACAGAAAGCGCATTTTTTATTGTTTCTTTTTAACGGATCATTTAAAAATAATTATCACTGGCCTGTTTGATAAAATGAAATTAGGAATAATTGACTGAAAGCAAAACAGATATGAACGGTATATTTGATAGTGCTACAATGTAATGAGAACTTCTTTTTTTCTTTTCATGTCTCCTTAAACAGAAGATTTATTCGAGTTCGTGGCATAATGGAAACTGAAAATGTATTTGATGGTTCCAGCTGTTGCCAGCAGTAAAATGATCAACTCTTCACTCAGTAATTGGATAACATTACATATATACTAGAGTGAAAGGAGTCAAACTACACAGGACGAATTCTGATTCTGACTTATCATATTGTATTAACATTAAAAAGTATGCACAAAGAGCGGCGCGTAAAGAATTATACTGTTAGTATTTTCAAAATTGTTCCTTTTTCTTGAACTTCATTCGGCTGAGGATGTGCGGATATGGGTTTTCTCTCCATACACAGCGTCAAGGCGTCCCTCACACCCACACTCAGAACGATCCACCCAATAAAAACTTGTAAAAGTATTTTCAATCTTATAAAACTTTTCATAAGGGAGAAAAATTTCGATTAAATATGTTTTAAAAAGCACATATTAACGATTTAAAATGATAATTTAGTCGATTTTGCAATAGACTCTATTTTCATTTCTTTCTGTTAAATTTATATTGAATTGCTAGTTGAACTCTGCATTTATTTCATTCTTAATTTTCTCTTTCAAATGAAATATTATCGGCATTAAAAGATCAATCGAAATCGTTATTTAAGAAATAGTAATCATATTACATCAGAATATAGATTATTTTAATCTTTTAAATAGAAAACAAGAGCTATAACTACTACTAAAGATGCTATCCAATAGAATGAATATATTCTTCTAACTCAATTATCCCGTGCGATTATCTATTTAAACATTGGTGATTTTTGTAGTTGAATTTATTAATTTTGGTATGATAGAAAACTTTTTATAGTGAAAATACTTTTTATTCTGTAAAATATTTTACATCTGTGCGTAACATGGAAAGTACCGAAATCGTTAATTATTTAATCTTGTTTTTGAGCTAAAAATGGCATTTATCTTTTTTGCAGAAGAAGAAAAATAAAAATAATTTTTTTATCAAAAACCATATATAGATTATCTCTTTATGAGACTATCCACAGAGTACCAAGGTTCTTAATCAAACATGTCCAATTTATTATCTTGAAATTACCTTGTTTTAAATCATTACCACCAGTTCTTTTTTTGTTGTTTAGATTTCTAGATTAAAGCGAAAGGTTTAGTTAAAGCTGAGTAGTTTACGTCGATTCGACGGTTCATTGTAATCATCTTCCATCATTGCATAAAAATACATCTACACTACAATTGTTAAGAATACATAAGCAAAATGAGTTGCTTAATGAATATTGAGAATGTGTGTGTGTGTGTGTGGATATTGGATGTGGAAACTTTACTCATACCCATACATTAATAAACAAGTGCAAATCTTAGCCATTATAACTGAATGCACCGAAGAGTTTATTCAAACGTTTTAAAATATACATTAATAGCTATAAAACAGTTCACACTGAAACGTTGATTAATCATACAAACAATTAGCTGTTAGTTTATTAACAACTGAAGAAAAAGAAATAAGTATGCAGCAAACAGAGTGTACATGGTGTCGGTAATGACTAGTCTTCTTTGTTGGCAGTGTTCATTTGATGCACTCTATTCAATTTGTCCTTTCGAAAAGCTAGTTTAAATGAAAAAAAACACCATTTAATCATTTTTACTCTCATATATGCGAGGGATTCTACTACTTATGGTAAAAATTTTTTTTGAAAAAGAATGATTGAAGCAACTTGTCAGTGAAGTTCCTTCCGGGAGCTAAAATGTGGAACTCATGTCTTGTGACGTAATAGCTTTATGGTATATTGCTAGAGAGGCTAAGGTAATTTATTTTGAACAAATATCCAATATATAAACTCACAATTAAAATAATTTTTATAATTGATATGCGCGTTTTCAAAATTTTCTTATTTAAAATATGTTCGCATTGATATTTACTTTTCTACCGACTGATGTGATTTATTCAGCATTCTTGTATTAAACAAATTTACATATATATTGTCGTATACATTTTGAATGTCTAATGTTTTCTCCTAATCATACTATACACGGCAGATGGCCTAAGAAACGATAAATATCAATTCAATCATCGTTTTGTTGGTTTAACTACCATATTACACCTTTTATGTACATCGATTTAATCTTTCATTAAATCTCCTAATTGAAATTCTTTTCTCTTCATGCTTTTTAGCGTATGCTGTTGAGTTTAGCCTGCACTTAAATGGATAAGCCTATACTTTGTCATGTCTCCTTATTCTGCATTAGCTAGACCAATCATTTTAGCACTTTACCGATTGACACCGAAATGAAATGCTTTTGCTACATTAGCACTCATCTCCCTCTCTCCTCCCATATTTCAAATAGTTGAACTCTATACACTTCCAGAATAATATAGGCACTATTACTATTTTTGGTTCTTTTTCTCGTTACTATGGGAACCAATTTCATAATACTTGCTTCTTTCCCGCTCCTTATTCACCCCCACCCCACCTCATTCCCACCGTTGCTAAAGAGACCTATTCAATACATTTTATTTTCAATTTACTTGGTTGATAAGGCCTAGGCTGGAGCCGCAAAACCTTGTTATACAACTAAGTATTATCAATGGATAAATACCTAAAAGTATAAGAAAAAGTGGCTTTGCATAGTACCACTTTTTTCGCTTGCCTAATTCACAGACCGGAAAACTTTAGCGCGAAACTAATGCAATCTCCAATACAGTACGAAACATCAAGTTTCAAGTGATTTATTCGGCATAAGCACATAGCTGATAAGTGCTCAAATTTGTTTCAGATTTTCTAGTTGGAGAGGGGATTGATGGGAACTAAAAGATGAGTCTATCTCTACTTTTTAAATTTCTCTTGTTATAAGTAATCTAAGATGTTGGCACTTACATCATAAAATGTATCTTCGATGTTGTATTTGTAGCGAAAACAAATTCGCGATATTTTGTAACTTAGCCAAGAGATAGACAAAAGTGGTAGGATAAAGTATCGGTCATACTCGTGTGTCAATGAATACCATCAAAATGTACATTATTCGAAAGCGACAAAAGCTAATAGGTTGCGATTTTCAGCGATGAATACTGCCTAATCTGATGAATATCTAGCATAAAAACTTTTTCTTAAAAGCTTATTGGTTTCACAGAAGATTTAGTAGGAGGCGTGATGTTTATTTTGACGCCTCCTGGAACAGCTGAAAGGAATTTTATTTAAATGAAACAAAAACAATTCGAATAAAAAATAAAATTATGGATAAATAGATCGTTTCAAATCGTATAAGAAATATAGCAAAACATTCTTTACGTTTTCCATTTATACCTGGAAAAAATTAAAGAAAGAGAAGCATGCGAGGAGTTAACATAAAAATACATGAAATCCGGCACACAGAAAAAATTATTTTGAATGTTGTAGGTAAATAACTGTCTGTAGAAGACTGGTTTTAGTAGTGGATATAGAGAATGATTGATAGAAAATTTGACGAAAACCTTGTCCAAGTTGATCAAACAGAAACTAAGAAACAAGGAACACTCTTTTTGAAAGTCAAACGGTGCAATGGATATTATAATCACTTATGTATGTTTAATAACCCACAGCTTTCATAATTTATTTTAATGAAAAAATAATTTTAATATTAGGACGATAGTATGCAGAAACAGGTTCAACTAATTGAGACCTTTAATTACTTCGGAACAAATATATTTGCCAGTGGCCATTTTAATTCGTTTATATTTTCTTGGGTGTGGGCGTGGGTGTGAGTGTAAATCTTTCATTATCACACCCACCCACACCCTCAAGATAGTTTTTGCGATTCTACCTGAGGGTGTGGGCATGGGTTATGTTATTACTCACACTCCAACAGCACCCACATCCATAAATAGATAATGATTTAGAAATTTTCCTGTTGGATTATCCAACATGAAGAATCCTTCGAGACAATACTTCAAGCTGACCCCAGAATATCCTAGGTATTGAGTCATTTGTCACACACAGAAACAAAATACGGTTGAAAATTTCTGAATGACTTCGAGATTGGAATATAACATTTAACGAAATGGCTACCATTTTTTCAGTAAAAGTTAGATTCATTTTTTTTTGTAATTATTGATTGACTCTGAAGCTAAATAATTTCCTTATATGGTCAGAAAGAAATATTGATCAAGAAATAGATATTGAAGAAGCTCATTGATTTCAAATTTCTGCAATAAAGACCGCAATATGAGCAAATTCAACTATATTTATAATGATTTTCATAAATAATACTTACATTAGAAAATTGAACTTGCAAATCATAAAGAAGTCATTTATTATTTCTTCTTTTATTGTGTATTTCATTTAAAAATCTCCTGTGATCTCATGAAGACAGTAGATCATCGATATTAAACAAAGAATAAGACATTTTGCTTATTTATCTGTAGCTTTTAAAAGGAGAGAATTTTGATACAGATATATTCTCACTTTAGTATATTTCACACTACTATAGTAATTAAAATTTATTCTGAAATAAAATAGATAATATCTTATAAACTGAACTATTTCAAAGAGTAGCCAAAACACAAATAAATTTAGAGAAAGTCAAGCATGATTTTTTTTGTAATTTGCTTAGTAATAGTATCGGCGAAACGATCAACAAGTTCAGCTGTCATATTACTGTTTTCTGCTGCAATATCACAAAATATAGTTCTAAGATCATCATCTTTTGAGGTTTCGTACATTTTTCCACGTCCACATAAAGCCATATCATTCAATAATTTGATATCTTCCGGATTCGTAGATAGTTCTTCGCCGAAAGCAACAGTATGACATTTAAAATTGTGCCTTTGGTTGTACTTTTGTTTTAGATCAGTAATAAGCGATGCTGGACGTTCCTGTGATTGATCTTGTCCATCGGACATGAAAATCATCACCACCGATAACCTTGTTGAATCGCGTTGAATCACTTCCTCTGCTGCCTTTAAAGCATTGTAATAATTTGTGCCACCATGTAATTGCTTAATACTACGAGGAGCTGTGGTAAGAGGTTTTCGCTCAAAGACAATCTGGGCTTCATCGCTAAATTGCACGACACTAAACATATCATCATCACCTTGATGGTTTTTACGACTTTCTAAAAAGGCAACATAAGCTCGTTCTAAAGCTTTCCAATGATCATTCATTGAATTGGATCCATCAAGTACAAAAAGAAAATGAAATGGCTGCAGGACTTGCTCATCTTCTTGGAATGGATGAAAGACAGTAAAAGATTTATCTGAATCTTTTCTTTTGTAGTAATCAGTAAATGCTTTTTGCATCGTTTGCGTTTCTGCGTTTTTGATACAACATAGTAGCAGATCGATTTCACAGTTCTTTTTGAGGAGACGATCACAGATTTGCTCCAATGTACGTGATTTCACTCCCTAGAAAAGTAGAATTTTCTATAAATAAAACATTATCGATACGTGGATATCTGAAACGGGAAATTTCTTTTCTGATGCAAACAGATGTTTGTATATTAAGAGCTTATTCTTGTTTACTTTTACGATCTAATTTTATTTTTTTATGTGTCGCAATTCAAAAAGACGACTTTTGATTCTAGGATATCTAATATTGCTTGACGTATCTGTCAGCTACTGAATTAAAAAACAAATCATTATGTTTTGTTTCTATACCTTAGGATAATTATCGCGAAGTTTTTCATTCAGTTCTCCGTGACCTGGAGCGTCTGTGATAAGAACGATACAACGAGCACTTTTTGGTTTCCACCAGTTCAATCTCGAACATCGATGCAACGCACCGAGCACGTCTTCAGGAAGATCATCACCACCGGTTGCAGTTAATTTGTTCAGGAATTGATCGACTGGATTGACTTGATCGACTTGATCATCGACTTGATTAGTAAATTCATAGACACAGAATTGTTCGTCATCCCAATGATCATGAACGTCTCGGTAACCAACGATAGCAAGACGCAATTGAAAGTTGAGTGATCCATGCTTTTTCCTAATCGTATCTTTGATACCCGATATAATTTGTTGCATCTGCAGTTTCATAGCAGAGAGCCATGGTGACATGCTGCCTGTACAATCGATACAGAAGCAAATATCCAAAATAATATCCGTTGACGATGAAACGTCATTGATCAACTTCATACGCCGCTCGCCAGTCAACTCCTCAGCTATGCATGAAAAGATTTTATCTGATCTAATATTGTCAAAAAGACCTTCCAATACATTTCGATTTGTCATATTTTGTTCTTCAGGTGTGTCTGTTAACCTTTCTATGGAATTGACTTCAGTTTCGTGTTCGAAGAGAGCTCGCAAAGCTTTCGGCAATCCATATACAGTGGCACATTGAAGATATCGCTTGTAAAACTTTTCGAGATTTGTTTTATCGATCCCAATAGCCATAGCAATGATATCGATGCCATTCTGTACGGCGCGTTCTTGTACCATAATCAATTTATTTCGACAACTACTGTAGCCATCAGTGAGAATAAAAATTTTCTTTTCACCTCGCGTCGAACATTGTTGAAGTAGATCAACACCGACCTCAAGTGCATCAGCATCTCTTGTTTCATCATCTCGGTCAAAACACAATTCCTGCATGAGCGTATAGATCGTCATAGCATTCCATCCTTGTTCATTAGTTTTTATTAATCGAACAGTTCGCCCGAAAACTACGATTGAAAATTTATCGATGCCAATCTTGATTAATGCAGCAATCAATACAACAATAGCATCAAGAGTACCCAAACTGAGTGTACCAAACATTGACGTTGAAACATCAACTATTAGGCATATGGTATGATCCCGTTTGCCTCCAGCAAGTTTAGCACCAAAGATTTTTTTATGATTCCAGTCAGTTGCCAATGCTTTGATCACACCAGGCATATAAAGTGATGAACCTCGTAATGCTTCTCGTCTTCGGGTAAATCTGTTAAAACGAAAAATAAGTTCACCAAACACCGTTGATACGACATCAATTAGAGCTGAAAATCGATTTTCATCATTGAGCCAAGTCTTTTCAGCATCGAGGATAGATGGACTGATCTTGAGTGATTCATAATACTGTCGAAGTTTGCCAATAGCATGCGAACTATAGTCTGTATAGTCGATATTACGTGTTACATATGTTGTGAATTCAGCATGAATCTGAAACAAATCATTGCAATGCATTAGAAGGAAAATCACTCTCGAAAACAGCTTACCTGAGTTGATTCAGGGATGATAAATGTTGAATGATTGATTGCGTATGAACAAGGGTTTGCACATGAATATTTTATATTTTCACCAGTTACTTTACTGGGTATTGCCGTGCTTCCATCATAACTCGGTATTACAATGTGTATTGTTGATAATAAATTCGTTTTCTCTCCATTGGGGTTCGTTTCGTTTAGACACTTCTCAATCATCTTATATAATAACTTGGGCATACTATGTGGTAGCTCCGCCATTTTATTCGATTTAATCACAACATTTTGTACTTGGGTTAAACAATCAAGAAGTACTTGACTTGTTGCTTCCTTGTCTGTTTCAATGAATAAAATGCCAAGATCGATATTATGTTTTTTTGTTGTACCTAGATATGTTGCGTCTTCCCGTTCGTTTGTTAAACCATCGGTTATCATAATCATAAATTGGTGAACATGAACATCAGTAGATGAATTGTTTTTACCTTCAGGAAAGACTCGATCAGCTACACGAGCAAGTCCTGTTGCTGGATAAGTACCTTCATCAAAGGTCAGCGCTTCTAGAACATACTGGCCATCTTGTATTGTAAAGAGATCGTCCAGATTTTTCAAGATTTTCTGATTTGTACGTCCACCAAAGCGTGCTACGGCAAATTTACTCTCGAGTCTACGCAATAATTCCATGAGTACAACAAGACTCTCATAAATGGCATGACGATGAATACTCATCGAACCTGAATTGTCGATCATTATGCACCACTGAATTTCATGTTGTTTATGTAGATTGCTTCGGCTAAATATCTTTTCCAAGCTTGCACGAAATTCTTGAATTATCAAATCAACAATACGAGTGATAACGGGTGTCTCAACTAACATTTGATATGTCCATCGCTCGGGCTTGCTGGTCCATTGCAGTTCCGATCGATTGTCAAGTCTACCCTCGGGTATAATGGAAGTGATGCTTTGATTGGCTGATCTGTAAAAATCAATTGCTTTCGTATCGTGCTTCAAATATTCTCGCATAAAACTTAGTGATAAGTCTAGATTACTTCTTGGAATTGAGCTTGCAATAATCGATTCCATATTATCACCAATGACAGCACTGTTTCCACTGATTTCTGTAGGCTCTTGCATACTTGTACGCTGATTTAACATGTAATTAGTTAATCGTTGTGCTCGACGACTTCGACCATTGTTTGTGATGCTACTTGACGGTGTGTCAATCAATTGAGTTGTGATTTTTGTAGTTGTCTCGTTGCTGCTATTTTTCTGATAGATTTCATTGGTAATCACATTATCATGCTCAGACTTTGATAATATAAAGTTGTTATCATCGTTAACCAGCGATATTGAATTACTTGTTAACTGCTCTAGTGTTTGTAGAGACGCTGTAATTGCACGCACATCCAGATCGAATTTTAACTTTCGTAGTGTTTTTCCTTTGTTTGTGAGTGTACGTGATGGTAGTTGAAAGTTAAAACTAGGATGATTTATATCGATATGTAGTAGACGAAGTACCATTTTCAAGTTAGGATAATTTTCGAGGGACAAAGAACGAAAACAATTTTCTAGGCGCGCTAAATCGTCGACAAGAAATTGAATGCCTTTACGAGTAAAGGTTGGTTCGAGTATGGCTATGATTACAATAAGATCACGTAGCATGCATAGACCATTTTCCACAATACGAGAACCATATGCAGTTAAACTTGATAGAGCCGAACTCGGTGAATGAAATATGAGAACATAAAATGTCATGAAAGCATCGTACCATTCAGCAATCTGAGTCCGATAAATAAATGCAATATTGATAACTTCTTTAACTGTATCCGATACTTCAAAATGAAATAGCTTTGGAGGCCGACTAGTGAAGTAGTCTGAAATTGAATCGTGCATTTTCTTCAGAGTGCCCTCGGTATAAGATGATAATCGTGCTATGGCCATTGTTGGTGTCTGTTTCGAAACAGCATTCTCCTTGAGTGTTGTAGCCAATGCAGTCTTGTCAATGGATAAGATCTCATCAGTTAATGAACTTCGATTAAGAATATGTGATCGAATAATTGACATAATAGATGGAGTCGTGCATTTAACAGTGACTGCTGTTGACATCTCACGAGTATCCTGTCGGTAGCTGGCCAACATACAGAGTGCTGCTGCCAAATTTGTCATGTAAAGTTCTTGACACAACGGTATTTCTTTTGTAATAATTAGATTTTGACACGATGTTAACATAGATTCAATGATTTCAAAAATTCGCAACGAATTGCTACAAGTAATATCGAATACTGTCTGCCACATTGAAGCAAGACTTTTGAATAGCGATTGATCATCATGAGCATTCTTGGACAGTATCAGTTCGAAAGTTCGAATTGACTGAAGAAATAGTTGAGCTTTATTGTTTATGAGGTTTGACGCAGATTCTTCTATTTGTTTTAATAGTTCGATATTTGATAGTTTGGTTGATGATAGTTCTTGAGTTTTTATTTCTATCTTGTCGAATAACACTTGTTCGTTACTAGTCGATAAATAACGACAAATTCGAAATGCGTTTGATGCCATTTCTTCTTCATCTATAGAAGTATTTAGTTTTTCGATGAGATTATTGATCTCATAACCAGAATGGATTATATTGGTTAAACGCTGCATTGCTGTCCATGATGGTGTAGAACAGAATTGTTTATAAGCGTCTCGAACTAACGCAAACTCGTTTTTGTTGTCAAGTGCATATAATAGATGAAGAGCTCTGTCGATCACATCCGATAGTCGTGTATCATTTTTGCTTACTACACAAAGAAGAGACCACGCCGATCTTATACTGGATTGAACTGTTTTCAATTGATCATCATTTAGTATTACCAGTTGTTGAAGTATGGTACAGAAGTTGTCGATTTGATTGTAACGTGTTCGTTCATCGGTTGAATTATCAGAGAATGATTTTTTCAGTTGAAAAATATTTGAGGCAAGATCACTCCGTTTATCACGCAGAGAAGGAAAAGCGTTAAGTGCTTGTCTTATGTCAGATGGTTCTATCGCTTGAAAAATAGTGTCAATTTTATTGAAATCTTGAAGTTGATTGAAATGTTTTAAAATTATTTCCGTAACTAATAGAACATCGCTGATTTTAGGCTGTTTTTGATTTGATAATCTAGCAAAAATTGACGTGAAATTTGGATAATTAGTAAAAAACGGTTCCAGATGAGTATTTTTATCATTTAATGTAAGTAAATTCCACATATTATTCCTGGTTTTGACCGTTTTCAATACGGCTTGTCCGCAGAAAATCGATGGTTGCTCATTAATCAGTCTTAAATGGACATTCAGTAGTTCCTCATAGTCTTCACTGATGAGTCGAATGGCAATGTCTCTAATATTATCTGAAATGAGTGCGAAGAGTAGCGGCCAGCGATGTTTTCCACGAGAATCGATTTTAATTGTCAGCAATTCACTGATTGTATCATTTTCAGGAAATATCGCGTATAAGTGTTTTATGATAGCTTCCACTGTTTTCAAATTCAGAGCTTCATACATGAATTCGACGAAGTCAAGTACATGTTTGGGTATGACTGAGTCGTTGCTGATGCATTCACGTAGAAAACAAATCGATTGTCGATGACTATCGTCACTAGACGATTTTTCATAGAATTTCGAAAATCGTTTAGAATAACACTGCATAGCATAGACTTCATCTGTATTTTTAGTAGAATTGATTGAAGCGAATAGATGAGTATTGATAGTATTACCATATGAGAATGAACAATTAAGCATTGCTAAGTGATAGAAAAATGCGTAAAAGTAAGAGTCAGTATTCGAATTTTTAAATAATTCAGATAATATTTTAATAGAATAATTAGCATCCTTCGATTGATCGAACATTTCTAGGTCAAGTATTCTATCATGAGAAGTGAAATTGGAACAAAATGTAGTCCATTCTTCCAAAGTTATGGGTAGCTTCTCTTTCGTTTGTTGAGAACCACAAATATGACCGATTGCGGTAATTAGTATTGCAGGAGTGTACTTCTCATAAATTTGATGGCCCGTAGTGATGGAATAAAGCCAAGCTGATGGTAATAGTTTTAATGATGACCATTGTTTATAGTCTGATTCATCAGGCAGAGAAAGTTCAGGTAATGATCTCGTATGTCCAATCACCAAAAAATTAAGTTCCCGATTGACCAACATCCCATGAATATCGATGACAGGATCACATTCCGTGACTAATCGAAAGCTAAAAAGATTAATTATATTTGGTAAAGATGATGTGTCTTGTGAATTAAACTCAATCCTGACAAAGAATTGACGCTTTTTTTTCGAATCAATAATGAATCCATCGTTTGTTTTAGCGAGGAGCGATGATGAGGAGGAGGCGGAGGATGCAGATTCCAAATCAGCTAATTTCACTAATGAATGGAGACAATAGGGTCCAGAAAAAAATCCCCGTAGTTCTGCATGCCCTTTATTTTCGACACAGAGTAGTTTATTTCGAAAATTTTTATCCGCTTCGATAAGGCCAATATCAATTATTGTACGCGGATTTGTATCAACGATGGGTCTATGAAATTCCAAATTATACGGGATTTGTTCTGGAAGATCCCATGCGTTACTTGTGAATTCAAGCGTACCGTGGAAAGGACACAAATCTTTTGGATGATAGCAGATATCTATGGCAATCTGTGATTGTGGAGGAACAACGGTTTTCTTCGGTTGAATATCAAAACAAGATGTCGGCAGCATCAACGGATTTCCTTGTATTAGAATTCGATCAAATTGAAGTGTTGCTGCAGAGCTGCTTGTATTATGGAAAGTCACTTGATGTTTTATAGGTTTAAGAATCTTTAATGCTGAATCCCAGATCTCTTTTTTATCATTTTCATTACTTATAATAATGACACAATGTTTATCAGCTTCAGAAATATGATACTCAAGTGCAGGCATAACTGCTTTGCATGTTAATGTTAATTTACATTGACGTCGAATGTTCAAAAATTGAATATCGATATTGAAGATTTTATACAAACTATCACTTGGCATGTTTACTTCGATTTCTATTGTTGTTCTCGCTCCAGCGGATAGTTTCACTCGAGCATCATGAATTATTACTAATGCACGATCTTCAGTTGTTAAATAAAGTGTGTATTCAACAAGTCCACTATTATAGAATTCTATCGGAACTCGACGAACTTCATGCGGATAAAAATTATCTATTGCTAAATGGCCTTTTGAGTCGTTGTCAACGATAATATGATTTTGATAGAGAATTTTCAAAGAGCTTCGTTTCACATGTGCCAATATTTTAATCCATTTGAGATTGTTACGTGTGTCAACCGCGAGCACAACATCAGCGTTGATGTCTTCTTCATGATTATCGCAAGTTTCAAGTGCAACAGTAAATGGGAGCTTTGAATTCGCAGGTAAATGAAGTTCTTTATCAGCAATAGTTAATGTTGATTGGCGAATACTTAACTCAGTAGCTTGAAATTGTGCTTTGATTCGTAGTGGACAATTTAATACATTATTTAAAAAGAGTTTCTCTTCAATCCGACAAGTACCACAAGCAACATTACCAAATTTGATTGTGTCAGATGAGAGTTCAACATCGACTTCAACTATGCGAACAAGTACTTTAACAATGTTCTCTAATGTAATTGTTTCATCAATAATAAGATTCCATTCTTCTTCTACTATTTTAACGTCTGTCGGAGGTTTTAGCAACACTTCAAATTCAGCCATAGCGTTTATACTAACTGGTAGATTTTCTTTTATGACATCAAATGTTTTTTCATGGGTACTGAATGGTTTAATTCGTAAAGTTATATCTTTTCCTGAATGATTATGAATAAAAATACGTTGAATCAATCGTTGATAAACACCACTACGTGTAATACCAAAATCTAATATAGCTGATTGTGGAATACACTCTAATAAATTAGATGAACTATTATTGATTAACCATAGATGAACATCACGATCCATCTGTGAGTCAAAAAAAGCTTCATTCATATTACTTTCAGTAGGAATTCCTCCCATTTCAAGATGTTTCATATCATTCCCAATGATTCCAATTCTTTTAATTGTACGATAGATTTGAGTTGCTTCATTAATGATTCGCTTGCATTCTTCAACATGCTTGATAGTTTCAGATTTATTTCCAATAAAATTTTGATTTAATGTCTTGAAGTTCTTCGTCATATTCTCAAATATTTGTTCACATGCATTATTTATATTGACTAGACGAGCATTTTCCAAAGCATAACATAGAATAGCATGAGCTTTGGTCAAACGTAGATGGTACAGAATATAAAATAGCCGGTTCTGTACATTGGCCAATGCTCGTTTGCCAAGTTGATATGCTGCATTCATAGATCGTGTCCATACGTGATGAAGTTGTAAATGAATTGCAGGGTTTTTGTCCTCAACAATTTTCAATGGAATAGGCATCAACGATAGATTATTGACTTGAAGAAGGCTAATGGATTTTTCGAATGCATCAAAACATGGCAATTGTTGATATATAGAATAGATTTTCCAACTTGTTAATGAATCATCGTCAGATATTGGTGTACATTGAAAAAGTCGGTTAGTTTGACGTAGATTATCAGCAATTGATTGTAAAATCCTTGTAACGATTGATTTCTTCCAATCTGATTGTTCTTTCTTTTGGCTGATTTGTCGCTGAAATTTTTTCTCTAAAGTTTTTAAAAGTTTCTGAAGATCAGTCACTGACAAAACGTCATTTATATTGATTGTATGATCACGAACATGAACGGTATAGAAAACTTCTTCCGAATTAACTGAATGACATCGCATTTGTATGTTATCAAAGGAATATATTAGACTTTTATCAAGCAATGGTCTCCATTCCTGTTCGTATCCTTTCCATTTGGCAGTATTCAGGCAGAGTTTTTTTATCTGCGTATTGGCAAAAAGATGCAGTTTCTTTTTTCCGAAAATTTCAATAGGAATTTTAACCGATGGCTCTACTTCATCTGACTCCCAAATATGAAGAAAAACCGTCTGTGATTCATACTGATGATTGAGTTCAATATCAAAGACAAAAACTTGAGAAGTACTTTGAAACAATTCGCGTTCATTCAGTGGTTGCAGTGGAAATGGTACATATTTGTGATATAAATCAATGACTTTTCGAACTAATGTTTGAGATGTTGCCAAAGTAAAAATAAATTCAGAACCCACTTGTTCATATTGTAGTCGTTTTTGAATCTGTTTTATTAAGTGGAGAATGCTTGCTTCATAATCAGCTGCACTATGCGACTTGAGAAAGGGAGAAAGAATGTTTCTGCCAGCCACAGATAGTTCTAGTCTAATTTGTTTGCATAAACTTTCATCACTTAGCCATTGTTTTCGACGTAAATCAATAAAACGTTCACCAGCTATTTTCCATTGTTCAACAGCGTTTGATGCATCCTCAATGCAATCTTGAATATCAATAGAATGGCAAAATTCCCTGTAACGTTCTTTAAAAGTTACGGTCGATAGTGAAAATCGATCTTGAAAGATTTTTAATTCCAATCGATGAATAGTTTCTAAGGATTCAAACACTTGTTCAATCAGTTGATTATTAGTGAAATATTCATTTAGTGATCGTACAAATAAAAACTGCTCACTATTGTCATAAAATTTTTGTATTAAATCTTCAAGTAATGATAAAGTCTGATGATCAACATGTCTCGTAGGAATATTCATTAAATTTGAGCCAAGATTATTCATACCATTAATGATTAAATGATATAAAGTTTGAAGACATCGAAATCGATCGTCCGGATTATTAAAATTAATTTGTTCTGAAACGTTCCTTTTTTTGCTTTTTAAAACACTTTCAATATCGGACAGACGGATCATATCTTTGTCTTGTAAATTTTTCTTACGCGATAATAATTCATATGTTTTTGCTTCAACAAAACATTGTAGAATTTCTTTCAATGTTGAATTCCGTCGATAGTTCATATTTTCACAAAATGGATTCATTTTTGAACGTGTCTGAAGTAATAATTGACATAGTCTATCAATATTTTTCGACATCTGCTCGAATCGATTAGATTTAAGTTGCAATGGAATAAAATTATATTCTTGTTTTATCTCACTGGATGTTTGAGTCCATTGAAGAAAATCGTTGCAAACATCCAGAACGATTTCATATTCATCTTCGGTCATCAAGAAGCTGGCTTTATTAATTAATTCAGCCATTGTTAACCACATTCGTTGAATCATATGAGCCGCTGGTAGAATAAATTGTGTTAAGGCTTTAGCTGATCGATCAAGGCGAGTGAAAAGAGAAAATGGATTCGAATTGAATTCAAATGCAATATGTAATCGTTGAAGTAAAAGTGTATCACAATGAGTTTTTAATTGCATTTCACACATATCAAGTAGCTGAAGCAATTCAAGTTCTTTTCGTGGTAAATATGGATCGATAACTTCTACTGTAATTCCACTTAATAAATCATCCAGTGGTTCATATGTTCCACGTTGTAATTGCAAATAACGGCAACCAATAATCAGTAAATTAATAACGAACCGCTCAAATTCTTGAATAAGGCTTTGGATTTGTTGACTAAATTGTTGTCCCGTTAATAAAGACTCGATACTGTGGATTTCATTTATAACATTACATCTAATCTCTTGCGCATGTTTCATTATTTCACTTTCTTCATCACATGTTCGAATTTTTCCAATAAAGCCAAGACAATGATCATGTGTTGATTTGTTTAATTTGCAGAAAAGTCGCTTACTATTATCCGATAGATATGATCCGATTTCTAATGATTTGATATTTTCCGTGTAAATTATCCAGCTGTTACAAGAATGTTTCAATGAACAAAATGAAATACGTAAAATATCAGAATAAAATCTGATATAATGATATAAAGGATCTTTTTCGGATAAATTCTTTGCATGACTGCCAAGTTCTTTCAATCGATCATCAATGATTTGTTTAGTTTGAATAATTTTCATCAAATCAAGTCTACTGGTCTTCGGTTTGAGTAGTTCTTGTTGAGCAAACGAAGTAATACTTACAAGAAGTTCGGCATGTGTTTCCATTGATGATGATTGATTTGAATGAATAAGATCGATTATAAAAATACGAAGTTCACGAAAAATTAAATTCAAACATTGAGTAACATCGTCAAAACATTGTTCTTGTTTGGTTTTAAGTTCAATATGATAACTATTCGATAGTTTATTCAAATCATCTTGTAAATCATCAACATCATTCTCTTGTTGTTTAGCTTTTTGTTGAAGGTTTTCTTCTTGTTCAATATATTTACGAGAGCATTCTCCTCGTTTCTGTTTAGCATTTCGATCCCGTCCTACTGCCTTATTTGCTTCTTGAAGTTCATTTTGATATTCAGTTAATTTATTTCTTTCTTCTTCAATTTTTTTTCTTAAGAGCGTAATGTCATTTAATTTTTCTTTTAATGTTACTATTGTTAATAGATGACTAAATGATTGAAAATCTTTAAGATAATCAGCTGACCAACTAACGATAATCATCATAGCCAATGAAATTGACATATGTAATGGAAATAATTCTTTGTAGCCAGTTACAATCTGTAATAGATGCCATTTGGAATAGTCAATGTCAATACATGAATTAATTAATTTTTGAAGAAAATGAATTGTACCATCGATAATATAATGAATATGTTTTGATCTATCGAATAAATACGTTGGTGTAGACGGTTGATTGAGATAAACGTAACTTGATAAACCATGTGTTGGTTCAATTTTTGGTCGTACTGTAGATAAAAGTGGAATTGATTCAACTTTAGCCGTACGATTAGAAAGAAATTCGTCGATATCATTAACTTTCGAACATATCGATTGAATAATTGCCGTGCATTCAGGTGCGAAAAGACAAATAAGATCTTCAGGACGCATTTCAATTGGTAATAAACTAAAACTAATATTATCACTATTATAATTTCTTAATTGATTTTGTACTCGATTTAGATTATCACTTATTGTTTTGATATTTTCTAATATATTAAAAACATTTAAGTGAGCCTTTCCCATCCAATCTTGAAGTTCAACAGTAAGACGAGCAACAGCAGCATAATTTGAGAGCATTTCATGTTTTGTTTCTTCAGTTAATATGTCACATCGAAATTGCCCATAAGCAAGCGCAACATTGACTAATAATGAATCTGAATTTGAAAAATCATAACCACATTGAATAGCTAAATCATCATTTAATAAGATTAGATATGTTCGTAATTGTTCATTTGTCGACGACTTCGATAGGCACATGGTACGTATCCACATTTGATTTGATACGTAAGCATGAATTAAACGAATACTTTCACTTAGATCAGTAAATGAATATGATTGACTATGATTTGAAATTTTTTTAAGAAAGGCTTTTAACGCATCGGAATAGTCATTTTTAATAATTTCTTCATTTTCAATAATTAATTCATCTGCTGAAATTTCGTGTATATCTTCATCATTAGGTAAATGAACATGAAATGCTGTGTAATGATTAATTTCTCGTTGAAATTTTTCTACTAAACCAACAAGAATTGCTTCTTCAGTAAGAAAACATTGAATTGTTGCTTGATTTTCTTGGCATATATGAAAATTTTTCAATTGATGTAAGGTATGATGCATACGTTGAATAAGATTATGTGGTCTTAATGGTAATTGGCCTGCACGAGAAGTAAGCTCGGTTAGATTAGAAATAATTCTATCGATCTTTGTTTGCATTTCCTGTTTACGAATGTCACGTGGATCTCTTATATTAAATGTTGTGCGTCTTGATTCACCAATTTGTTCATTTGATAATGTTCGTATAGAACGATTTTCATCGAATATATATGCTAAATCAGTAATGAAATGATCTAAACCATATCGAGATTTTATATTCGATAGAAATTTAATTTCATTTAGATAAGAATCGAGTTTATCTTGAAAATCTTTCAATTTATCTGCATCTAGTTTTTCCGAAACACATAAACGTCCATTGTTAATTTCAGTTCCTGTTAGCGTTGAATAAAATATTGTTTCTAAATGTTCAATAATTATCGGTGTTAATCGGTGTAATTCATTTGCATATTGTTCACCTTTGATAGTTACATATCGAACAAGTAAATCTAATAAATGCCGACATTTATTTATAAAATTACAGAAACATTCAAATTCATCAATAATTTGATTGTCGATTTGATCAAAACCAATACGTATATATTCATCAATTATCGATATACAAGTAAATCTTGCTTTAATTGATTTTAAATATACTAATGATGAAAGACGACTTGATAGATCTGTTAGTTGAAGCGATTGAATTTGATGTCGAAGATTTTGTTCGATAGTTTGTGCATATGTTAATGAAAAAACGTTTTGATAAGGTTTTAATAGGATCCATAATTGTTTCACTCCGATCAACCATTGATTAGTATCATTCAATTCGGTTTTAGAATAGTTTTCAATTTCATTTTGAAATCGAACTGCTTGCTGATAAGCATAAAGAGTTAATGGTCGACTTTCAATTGGAGTATTAGCAACGAAATATTTTAATTGATTAAATATTTTCAATACATGCTCATAGATTTGTTTACTTGTGAAGTTTACTGGTTGATTGTAAATCTGCATTAAACAAGCTAATGAAAATGCATGAAGATCATCATCATCAGGTAATATATCACGAATGGAATATAAATTCTCATGATTAATTGAATGATCCATTCCATCCGGAAGCATTCTGTACAAACAATCATTTAAATCATCTACATTTAAATTACAAGTTAAACTTAAGACTGTAACTGATACTTTTTTTGGTTCGTTAATAAATTTGAGAAAAGCGCAATCATACGGATGTTGATTTGGACAATAAAAAAGAAGAATATTTTTACCGTCCAATGTTCTTATATCGATTTTATCGTCTAATAATTGATCCCATCGAGACATGATATATAGTCGCATACGATGATCAAAATTTGGAAGAAAAAAGAAACCGCAAATAAAGAAGATCATTGGCGAACGAAGAATATTTTCATGTGTAATTAATTCACGTCCAAATTGTGTTTCAAGTGTAGCTCGAACATCGAGTGAATCATCTCTATTGATCAATGCTCGATTTGATCGCGATTGACGAAGATATTGAATCAGACGATGAAGTTCATTTTCATCAGGTTCTTCAAAATATTTTCGAATAAATTTATATGAATCCGATTCAAAAATTTCTGTCATTGCTTTTTGAAATTGTTGCTTTGCTTCTATCGCTCTTGTTAACGCTTGTTCACGTCGTCCTTGGATTTGTTTAAAATCATTCGAAATCTGACCCAATTGAGCATTTAGTTGAATTAACTGTTTTTCAAAACAAGTTTGCTGTACTTCTAATTCATGACATGCTGCACGAAAAACATCACCATCACGGAGTAGTGTTGAATTACGATTTTGTGCACTTTCGACAGAGAACTGTTGATTTTTATCCATATTCAACTGTTTATCTAAACGAATTTTTACTCGTTCGAGTCTTTTTTTAACATTTGCTATTGTATTTAGTAAACTTTTTAATTCATCTGTTTTTTGTACATATTGATTATCTAATGTACTTGATTCAATAGGTAAATTTCTAACAGTATTTTCAATAATTCTTGATATTTCGCTAATTAATTCTGTGCACGAAAATTTTAATTCACATTCGATAATAAAATGTCGCGTAATTGAAACATTTTTCTGTAAAACATTATGAATAGAGTTTGTTAAATAATCATCAAATGTCCAACGTATTCGAATCCATTCTAATAGTGTTCCGTAATGTTGAATAGTTTTTCTTATTTTCGATTGTTTATCAACATCATTAATGAAACGTTCAACAAGTTTTCTCATGTGATTTCGTGCTGATCGTATTGGAAATGATTGAACACGATCGAATGATTTTAATAGACTTGCATTTATATTATAATCATTATTTGTATCTTGAAAATATTGTTGTTTAATATGAAGAAAATCTGTATCGGTTAACATATTATACGAAATGAACCGATCTTTAAATGTTAATAATGGTCGTAATAATCGAATGGTTACTGTACTTAGTTGATTAATACTAGTTGTTAGATTGAAATCATCGAATATAGTTGAACTAAAAAAATCATGAAACGTTTCAATAATTCGAATTGATCGTTGAAGAAATTCTAATCGTCGATTAGCATCATTGAATGATGTATTACGAATATAACGATCTAATAATAAACATAATTGTTCGGATGCTGCACGTAACGATATTGACTTTTTTTCACATAATAATTCTACAGCTTTCGATAGATTGACATTATAATTTTCAAGTTGAATTTTTCTCTGTTGAACAAGTTCATTTAAAATCAATGAAAGATTTACGTCAACATCATTTTTTGTTAGAAGTGTTTGTTTTAATTGAATTAATTGAGAATCGTTTGTTGTCATTGGAAGGAGAATTTCATTGATAAATAAAATAAAAAGATTACGTGTTTTATGAATCATTTTTTCATCTTGAATAAGAATTTTGAATAAATTAAAAATATATTCTATGAAAATTCGTTCGAATTCAACAAATTCTAAACGAATTATTGTTTCTTCTTGAATATGACGTTCTCGTTTTTCATCAGATTCGTTAGATGGAGTTGAAAAAATCATTGATGGAGAGTGAAGATTTAATTTATCGATCGTTTTTTGTAATTCTTTAAGAAAAAATCGGTATTGTTGCTCCTTGTATAAAGATGAACCATATGAACGAATAACTGCCGAATAACAAGCGTCAACAGGATGAATACCTTTATTAACGAGAGAAATTAATGTTCGAACACATTGTTCTAATAAACGATAACTAATGCGATAATCAGTTGGATAAACCAATTGTCCATCTTTAACGTATTGCTTTACATGAATATGTATAAGAAGTAATAAATGAGCAAGTTGTTTGCCAGCTGGAATACTCATTAGTTGAGTAGAAACTAATTCATATAGATCACTTTTTGTTGGATCTTTTTCATCACATTCATCAATTGGTGGTAACCAAATACGAATAACTCGATTAAGAAATGCCGATGAAAGTTTATTCGAATAAATTCGATTAAGATTAGCTGTTGCAAATAAACGAAAATTTTCATGAATGATTCCGATTTTCTCTGTTAAAATTTGTCCGTTGGAATTTTTATACGATGATATTATTGGATTATCTTTTTTAGTTAAAATTTGTCCATCAGCAAATTCATATAATGATAATACCGGATTATCTTCTGTCAATGAGTTTAATCTCTCGAGACCTTCAGATGGCGCACTATTAACATTATCAAATAAAACCCAGCAACCCTCACGAATAGCTTGAACAAACTCAGATTCAACAAATGTAAAACCAATTTCTTGTGCTGTATTTGATTGAAATTCTCGAAGTTTATTCATGTAATCCATGGCTTGTTGAATATAACATGAAACGTATATTTTTGCTTCATCACCAGGTACATTACTAAACCTGTTCAATAAATTAATCATGTTTTTTAATGCATTAATTTCATTAGTAAGTAGTTCATCACGAGTTAAATTTTCATTCAACGTTCGTGAACGTAGAATTTTTTTACATTCATCAAATTCATTTTCTTTACGATCTGCTGATAATAATGGTATAATACGAAGAAGAATTTGTTTAATAATTTGTTTAAATAATATTTCAATTTTACTGAATAATGGATGTTCTCGTTTTTGATCAACATTCGGTAACCAAGAACCAATTAAATCTGTCGTTTCATAATTTTCATGAAGTGGAATTATGATTAAACGATGACGTGTTATACGCGCTAATTCTATTACGAGCGTTGTTTTTCGTGTGCAAATATCTCCTTCAAGTAAAATCGTTCGTTTCGATTGGCATGCGGCAGCTAGTGATTCTAATTGACTAATTGTTTTCTTTGTATGAATTAAATTAATATTAGCAGTTGTCGATGGCTCTTCGGAACCTGTTTTGATATAAATCGATCCGATCCGAACAACAGCTGGTGATGACATATCAATCGAACAATTTTTCTCTTCAATTTTATCACTGATGGGAAATTTACGATTGATTATTTCACAAGCTTTAATATAATCTTGTTCGCCTTGAAATTGACATGCATAAACAACTTGTGCAAATTTTCTTATTGATAATAGACGTGCAGTAGATGAATCTAAAGTTGAACTTAACTCGTTTGTTATTTTTCTTGTCTCATTATTATTATTATCTTCATTACTAATATTTTCATCAACAATAGTATTAAGAAATTCATAATGAGATAATTGATTGTCTATTGAATGACGAAAAACATCACGAAGTTTTGATAGGTCACGTAAATTTATTTTATATGGCTCATCTGTTCGGCCAAGAGCACCTTCACTGATACGTAATTTAAATGCAACATGCATATTAAATATTTGATCAAGTTGTGCCATATTGATATTGTTATGTTCAAGATCAAATGAAAATAATTGATTGAGAATAATCCGAAGTTCCTCTTCGGAATAATCATCAATTTGAACAATAGTAAATAAGTTATTAATTGAGCGAGGCAATTTACTTCTACCACCACCAGCTGTTGATGGATTCATTGTAGCAAAAATAAGAACATCATTGACGGGTACTCGTTCACCAGTACTACGAATTGTATAATGAGTTATACCACGATAGAACAATGGAGCTAAACCTTCGAGGACTTCTGGAGTGGCTAAATTTAATTCATCAAATAGAATCCAATGTTGTGCTCGAATTGCTGATAAGACTCGACCTTCTTGCCATTGAAAAATACGAATACCATTTACACAACGTGGAATGATACAACCAATAAGTTGATCAAGTGACGTATTTGCTGAAAGATTTATTCTTTCACATTCTTTGCCTAACAATGAACAAACTTGTGTTATTACTTGAGTTTTACCAGTTCCTGGTGGTCCTACGAGTAGAAGAGGAGCTTTTGATGATGTTGCAGCAAAAACACGTGCAATTTGATTGATTAATGTTGGCGTTGGTACACAGAAGAAATCTTGACGAAGTTTATTAAGAATAATTTGTAGATCTTTGTCATTTCTACATGAATATCGAACACCGGTATAACGTAATCCAATATACTCACTGTGGACTTCAAACGGAAATATTCTTTCATTTGATTGAATTGATTCGAGTGTTATTGCGCCATCTAATGCATCAGGCTGTTTAAAAATGAAACTAAATTCTTTAAGGTTATGAAAATTTTCCGACGAACTTAGCCATTCGTCAAACAGAATAGTATGTCGTGCTGTAGATAATAAATCAAAACAGAAAAAACGAGCACCGAGTAACATTCGATGTGTTAATGAAAGTGACGTGTGATGGTTTTTAATAAAATCTACCCAACGAAATAATAATTGAATATCATTATGTAATTTCCATTCAGGATCCGTACGTAGTTTTTCACGTAAGGAAAACATTTGTTCAACTAATATAGCAATCTCATTTGTATCTGAATTTGGCTGATTCAATGCAAATCTAACGAGATCTTCTAATTCATTTTTACTGTAAGTTGGTACATGAATTTCGGTGAAACGTGATCGTGTCGATGGACTTAATTTTAGTAGTTGATGGGCTTCGTCTTGATGAACACTAGCAAATATTTGAAATGTTTTTGAAAGAGATATATCAAGTTGACCTTTATCGGCTACTGTTGTAACATCTTCACTAAGTGTTAACGTTGGATCCGGTTCAAGCATTGAATTAAGCCGTTCAACAACTGCTTGACTAGGTAAATCGAGATCTTCAAGAAAAAGAATCCCGCCACGTTTTGCTGCTGTTATTACTGGTCCATCATTAAAGATAAATATTGGTCTAGTTCGATCGACCTTTTCATCACTGAGTCGTTCCCATGCATTAGAAAATTTCGCTTGATAATCAACAAGTGTTGCATCTGTAGAACAAAATGAAGAATAATTGACATCTATAATCATTTTTTCAAAGCCACGTTGAATATTTCGAACGGTTTGGTAAATTTTAGGAAGAAAATCAGTTTGATTAACAGTCCGAATAGGAAGGGATTCAAAATGAGACTCGAATACATTTGATGACGCCGCCCCCACCGCACTATTGATAAGATTTGGATAAGTGTTTTGAGTTGATGTTGTAATTTCATTAGAATCTCGTTGATTCGTTGCTGCTGATTCAGATTCTTCAACATCAGAAGCTAAATCATAATCATCGTACAACTCACAAGTTGTTTTTGGACATACAGATATATTAGGTTCAGTAGCCGAGTTATCTTTGATATTGATTGTAGTATTTGATATTATATCGATTGATCCATAATCATCATAACCATCGTCTTCTAACTGCAATTTTTCATAGGATTTCATAGTAGACTGATTTCTTTTAGATAAAGGATTATCAACATTATCATCATCATCATCATCATCATCATCATACCGATAAAGACGAGGAGAATATTCATAATCTGTATACTTGCGTTGAGGTTCTGTTGAATTAGTTATTGTTTCAATCATATTTTCGAGTTTACCAATAGAATTTTCATCAAATGAAGGCATCATGAAGAATTCAGTGTATTCTCTGAGCGTAGCAAAATTATTATGAAGTGCATTCTTTTGTTGATTTAATTCTTTTTCATGTGAATAATCTTTTTCAAATTGATCGATTTCATCGTTAAAATCTTTTGTAATTAAATCCGTAAGAGAATTGATAAAATCTTCATCATTGGGATATAATTTGCCAACACTATTCTGATTTTGGCAAAGAATTCGAAAACGATGAACAACTCGTTCAGCCATTGCTGGCAATCGTTTAAGTAGATCAAGAAATGTATATGGTTGAATTTCACCAACAAGATTCGCAGATTCACTTTCAGGTGTTAAATGTATTATGACAAGTTCATCATATCGATTCAATACTCGAGTCCATGTTTCAACAATTAATGTTTTACATGAGGTTGGGCCAATAAGAAGTACAGGTTCATTGGCATGAACAGCTTGAGCAATACGAGTTAACGTACGTTGAAATGTTAGAGGCCATGTTGATATGATACTTTGAGAGAGAACGCTTGTCTTAACATCAACATGAAGATCATTTTCTCGAAACCGAACTAGTCCACCGCCAACATCCTTTATTTCGATTTGTGAACCTGTCGGTATGCTAATATTGGGCCATTTCGTTTTTAAATCGTTGATTAGGCCTTGTCGTATGGGTGACTCCAATGGATATTTACTTGTTAGAAGCGAAGCGCCAACCATAGGCCAAACATCCTTTCCAGATGAAAATAATTCATACCGACGAATCCATTTGATAAGTTCACGAAATGTAATACGTGATGGCGTCTGAATCAATTGATGATAGAATGAAGCTAATGAATTCGCTATTTGATTTATTAAGTTTTTTTGTTTCTGTTTATCGGATTGATTGCGTCGAAGAAGAATTTCTGATAGTTCGGATTCAGGAAATTCATCAAATTGTATTTCAAGAAAACGATTACGTAATGATATCGGTAGTTGATGTCTATTTGCATAAGATGAATCATTTTGTGTAGCAAAAAAATGAAAACCTTGTTTAGCTGTTATAATCTTTCCACTTGTTGGTATCATAATCGAATTTTTACCTTCAAGTAATGGGAAAAGTATATTCATTACTGACGGATCAGCTAAATTAAATTCATCAGCAAGAAACCACCAACCATTTTCCATTGCACGATAAAGTGCACCTTTTTGAAAAATAAATCCATCATTAACAGGCAAATATGTTCCTAAATAATCTTGTATTGTTGTTGTATCTGTGTTATTGACTCGTTCAAGTTTTGGTTTTTGTTGACTTGATATGTGATTCATTTTTTTACTATCAAGAGTTTTACATAGATGCGCAATTAATGTCGTTTTACCAACAGCTGCAGGACCTTCTAAAAGAAGAGGAATATTACAAGCTACAGCACCCAATACAGCATTAGCATAATTCAATCGAGTTGAAGTTAAAATATGTTCATCTGTTTGTTGAATCCAATCAGTGAATGGTAGTTGACGTAGTTGGCAGTTTGGTTGCATTCGGCGAAGAAATCTTTTAATTGATTCAGTCATTTGAATTTTTATTTGTTCTCCTTTAATTTGATTGACAATAGTAACATGATAAGCTGTCCAAAGAATAGAAACAAAATTAAATTTATCTTGAAAACGTTGATAAAGACGATATGTGCTATCAAAAAAGCGTACTAAATTACGTAGAGTTACTTTAGAAATATTTGCCGCATTTTTTGATAAAAAATCGAGGATTTCTCGGCAAAGATCAACAGCTAATTGTGAATCAACATCATCGGAAAGAAGACCTTTGGCTAATTGAAGTAATTCATCAGAGTTGTTATCAATGTCATTCATATGAACAGTAGCAAAACGATTATAAAGTGATGGTGAAAGTTCGCCTACGTTCAATGATGAATAACGTGAATCAGGTGGTGTCATTGTTGCGAAAAGACGATAATCGTCATGCATGTTTTGTTCGTCAATTTCACCATTTTCAGTCAGTATAAGCATTGGTTTCTCTTCAAGGATAGGATTAAGTCGTTCTAATACGGATGCTTCTGCTGTATTGAAATTATCCAGTAATGCCCATTGCCCATTGATATAAGCACGTGTAACGCAACCGTGGTTCCAATCTAACATTTTACCATTGTTGGCACCATTTTTATCTTTTGCTTCATTTGGAAGAATTTGACCGATCAGTGCTGATGGTTCCGTTTCTGGTGTAATATTCAATTGATTCACTTGTTGGCCATTAAGCCAAGTAAGAGCTAGTAAAAGATCAGATTTACCACAGCCTTCTGGACCCGTAACTAATATGGGTTGTTTAATATTCATATCGAAAGAGACTTGTTTCATTGTTTGTAAGGTACGATCTGTAAGGATATATGGCATATCTGGTTGTATCATTATATCTTTTGATGTTATTTCCGATAGATTGGCATCTTCGAAATGTTCAATAAAGCATGAGCGCACTTTATTTTGTGCTTTGATATGGCGAAAACGACTTATGTACGATTTACAGCCGTGTATACCAAACTCATTTCGTTGATTAAGATGATGAGCAGCTGAAGTAAGCCAATGCCATAACCAAGAATAATCAATACGATAGATACCATGTAAATAGATAAAGTCAATATTTATCAACATTTTATGAACAGCATTGTGAACTTTGAATGCGATGGTCCAAATGTCTGCATTGAATTTTATGGTTTCGAGACCAGCCATCTTAAAAACATTGAACCATTCAAGTTCAGGATTAGCAATTGGTTGAATTTTAATGCGCGCTGAACATTGAATATTATCGAGAAAGATTTTCTCTTCTTTTTGATCAACACGAATAGATATATTTTGGAGAGCTGGACGGCCCCAGCCACCCTTTCCATTGTCAGTAAGAATATTTTCAACAATAGTACGTCCATTAGTACGATATCGTGCACCATAGATACACCACGCACTAAAACTGAGCATATTTCCACGATCCTGTGCATTAGTTGGCCAACATCCATGTTGTTTTTGCCAAATCAGCTGGTTAACCCATTTTAATAGTTCACGAATAGATATTTCAGCATAAGGTCCAGATTCAGCGAACCCTTTTCTTGAATCGTATAAAGCTTCTTTTATTTTGTTATTGAAATTAGTCACGAGTAAATCTGCATATTGATCAGCTTCATTGCCGAGATAAGGTTTTAGTCGTTGTTGAACAATGTCACGCCATTCAAAATCAGGTAATTCAGTAAAGACCAATGGTCGAAAACGACTGAGAAATGAACTTGATAATTTTTCACGTTTGTCTTTAAAGAAGCCAGTACTAGGATTTTGTGTAGCGAACAATCGAAAATCATCATGCATTTGGTAAACAATTATCGAATCTTGAGTCGAACTATTATTATTAATGGTTAGACGACGTGTATCTAGTGCTGATTCAATGGCTTGAAGAACAGTGTCTTGAGCAAGATTAAGTTCATCAAATAGGATCCAATGACCATTCACAAAAGCTCTAGTAAATAGGCCATGAACAAATCGAAAATTTGTCATACATGTTTCTTTATCGAACGCAAGCATCACTTTGCCCAGAAGATCATCAACGGTAACATGCGATGACATATTAAATCGAAAAAATGTACGAGATTGTAGTTGAGGTTTGCACATGCATGCTTGTCGAAATGCTTCCATGACAGTAGCACTTTTACCTACGCCAGTGTTACCTTCGAGTAGTATTGGAATTGGATCATCAAGTACTTCAAGTACTTTAAATATATTTTCACAAGTTGTCGGAGTGAGAACAAGATGGTTGAATTGGTCGTCTTTGATTGATAGATTTAAATTTTCCGAACGTTGTTGTGTTAAACGTTCACGAAGCAATTTATCACCTATTCGCTGTTCAACTTGTTCTAATTTCTTCAAGAATTGATTTCCATGAATAAAATCACTATGCCGTACAAGAGGAATCTCTAATCGATTTGCCACTTCTGAGCTGAAGAAGAGATTATTGGGTTGCTGTTGTTGTTGTTGCTGTTGTAGAGTATCATTTGTATGATTAAGTGTATCATCATGTATAGAACCATATTGAAAATTTTCAGCAAATAAAGAATGCTCGTCTTCAGATAATTCAAGTATCTTACCAAGAAGCTTGATACTTGCATATTTTAATTGATCAGATTGACCTAGTAAAGCCATCATATCGGGTATGAATGGTGAAAGTAATATAACAAGCTTTGTTCGTACTTGTTCGTCAGTAATCTCATTACTGAGACTAAGCAGATGCAATGAGAATGTTTTGTAAAGATTATCATCATCTTCATCGATGATTTCTTCAATCTGTAGAAACAGATCTTTGATTAAATGTCCAACTTTATCATGTAAAGAAGAACCATTGATTTGATTGTTATTCGAAATCGATAAAAGAAAACGAATAATACTAGCAAATGGACTTTGATCTTCGAAGTGAATTGAAAAAAATTTGGATGCATAATTACCAAGAAAAAAATCGGCAATTTTGACAGAATATTGATTATGTCCGGAATCAGCAACATTAAATAATAATACTAAAAGCCGCATGATTATTGATGGTGATGTTTCTGATAGTAGCCAATCTTCTAATATTCGATGGAAATCATCCGATCGAAAAAGAATAATATGTGCTTGTGCGCTATTAACTAACGCTTCAATGATAGTTAATAAAATAGAAATAAATTTGAAAGCTATCGGTATTTGAATACATTTCAAAAACTCATTGATTTTTTCATCTGTAATTTGTCGTACGTAAGTTGCTAATGTACTACTTGAATAAATTGAATATGTTATCATTTGAAAAATAAATTCAGCATTTTGATGACTTGGAAGTTGAATACGTTGAAACCAATCTTCCAGATAATTATCGTCAGTATACATTGTTACATATTGCAATAGAGTTAAAAGAGTCTGGCAATGTTCAGCCATTGGTTGACTGACAGTTTTTTTCTGTAGAATGTCATCAGCATACCATAATATTGTTTCGTGATCAATTCTTTTAATTAATCGAATCTCATTATGCTTATCATAAAATGGAATAAGATCCTTGAGTAAAAAGAAGAAGCAATAATGACCTTGTATATTATTCACAGGCGTACTTGCACAAATTCTTTTCATTAATTCTTCGACAAGCTCGATTTTATTCTTTAGTTTTTCGCTAACCATTAAGTTTTGAATCATTCGAACTATTTGATTTCCAACATAAACTAGTTGTTCTGCATCATTAAATTGTGGTAACATTTCAAGAAGATCAAGAATTAATTGATTTAATTCAGCAGAAGCATTTATTATATTCAGATCTGGTAGACGTTCGAATAGAAGTTGAATTATCTCAATATCTACATATTTTATACTAATCAAATGACGAAATAAATTTATCCAAGTTTGCAATACATAAATCGTATGGCTTCGATTGAATTGTATCTTTTGCAATAGTGATAGTAGCTGTTGTTTTCTTTTGCAAGCACTCAATGCTTCATGAACAATCATATTGACACGTTGACGTTTTGTAATGTTGCCATCAATATATTTATCTTTAAGATCATCTGTCCATTGAATATAGATTTGATGTTTTGATGAAGATTGGTATTCTTCTTTGTTAACTGCTTCTCTTTGTACTAGCTCATCACCTTCAAGAACGCGTTTAATCCGTAATGGATCGAAATAAAGTAGCCATAAACATTTAAAGCAGTCCGGTTCAATTAAATATTGTCGCATATCACCCAGTTTACTTTCTGTATATAGTAAACATTCGATGAGAAGTTTGATTAATGCATTCATTTCACTTCCTGTACAATCATAAACATTAAATAACAACATCAAATGTGAGAGATCCATAGTTTTATTTGGATTTTCTTGCTGTCTAAAGACAATTTAATACATATAGATTTATAATCTCTGTTTCGAAAATAACTGTTTTCATACTCACTCGAGAGTAGTTGAACCATCGGAGTTTTTTCTTACTAAAATGATTCGTTGTTCACATATTAAATCCATTAGAGGTCTTTGTGATCCATCATTTGATTTTGATTTTAACCACCATTCCATAAGTTTTGCCATTTTCATAGCGAGCGTCTAATGAATTTGAAGAAAACAAAAAAAAATAGTGAAACAATGATTTTATGTATATTTCTAGTTCGAATATCTTCTTTCGTCGTTCGTACCCTATGCCGATTTGTAAGTACGAGGGTGCCATATGGATAAAAAATGCTACGAAGCACTTTTTTAGTCTCAGCCTTGGTCAATGAAAAACTCATATTGACTAGTTCATCGATGAGATTTTGCGCTTTATACGGATCAGCATCACGATCCAATATATGATTTAAAACTATCGTTAATTCGTCACATTTTGTAATAACATTTTCTTGAGTCATCATTATATGGATAAGCTATTCCATTATTAACTAGAAGTAACAAAAAATTTCTTTCTAGAAAATAAAAACAAAACGAATTTACGAAGATTGATTTACCATTAGAATCAAAGATCTATTATATTTAAATGACTTCATTGTCTAGAACTCAAATCTTACAAGATAGGAAATTAAAAAGACACGAATGAATTGAAAGAGCATGAAAGTTATGAAATACGTTTGATACATTTATTCAATATGATTATGCAAGTAATTATTTTCGTTGGGTGAGTGAAGAAACTGTCGATGACGATGATGATGATGGAGCTCGAATATTGGTTGTTGTTTGTGCAGTTGACCGTATAGATCGTTTTTTCTCTTGGTAATGTTTTACAAGTCTAGCAGCATTTTCCTTAATTTGTTGATCTTCCTGAAAATGTTTTTGAACTAAAAGTATCAAATCTTCATTTGGACCGATTGTTTGTCCTTTCATTGTTTCAGGTAGTCCACAAGTACCGATTTTACACGGTTGGCCACTCATAAAAGTACTTGAACAGCAGGCCCAATACAAGAACGGCATTGCTGCCTTTTGATTCGGATTTTCATTATTAGTAGTCATAGCTGCGTCTAATGCGACGCGTTGTATTATTTGTTGAGCGTCATCTTGAGTCAAAATCTTAGTTGGATTGTCAAGATCGATAATGTATCCATTGTGATACCGACAACTTCCATGGTCGACTTTGGATGGAATATAACTTTGTAAACATTTAGGACATAATGTAACGGTTTCATTATCGATTCGTTTTTGTTCATCTTCATGTTTTTGTTGAGTTTCCTGAAGTGTCTTTTTAAATTCGATCTCATCAACTAAGTGTTTACGAAGATATGGATTTTTAACAATCATCACTATCCATTTTTCTTTCCAAAACGTCATATCGGTTTGTGTCTTTAAACAGAAAGAATCAAATGTTTTTCAAATCTTATTTGAAAAATAATTTTTACCCTTTCATCCGTTGAATTTCGTTCAACAACAGCTCTCTTACATTTTTCTCGAATGCATTGATATAATTGTATATTCGATATCGAAGTTGATGGTGACATTGCTGAATCAGTCACATTAAGCATAATCAACGAATCAATATCAAATACTAGCATAGATCGATTGTATTCTTCACATTCTAAATAGAAAATATTCAAAATTAAACAAAAAGAAAATAATAGAAGCATTTTAATAATTGATTACCATCGAATATTGTTGTTAAAAGTTCAAATTTTCCACTATCTTCAAATGCATTATTTTTTGTTAAAAAATTTAAATCAATTATTTGAATCGCATCAATATTTCGACTGAAACAACCACTAATAAATCGTGAAACTAAAGTCATTGTAGACGTTTCTTCTTGATCTAGATCGTCTTCAATTGTTGGCTCAGTTTTGAATTCGATATAACGTTTTCGACTGTCTAAATCGATAAGAATACGACCTGTCGGAAGACTATCTGGTAATTTAAGTGAATATTTTTCTTGCTGATCATTTGATGAAAATATGTTTGGATAGAGACGACAAATCTCTGGTAATGTTCCAATGCCAAACCAACAACTAAATTCTCGTGCTGTATTATCAGCTAGATCAAGAAACACTTTGTTTGTTAAATTTGTACTTTTATAACTATCCATGGCAACAACAATACTAGATTTTAATGCACCAACAGCAGCACCACTAAAATTTGTTGTTATTTTAACAAGAAAATCCATACATTTCTCATTAAACATATTCGCATCAAGATATAGCAATGGTTCAAGCATTTTTCTTCGAATTTGTGGTGATGGTCGACCAACAAAACATTTTGATTGCATCCGACGTAAAAATGCTTCATCCATCATATTTTTTCGATTAGTTGCACCAAGTACAATTAAATTTTGAATATTTTTAACACCTTCAATATGAGAAAGTAAAACACTAATTCCATCGACTTTTGATTGTTGAGCATTATTTGTTCTTTTTGGAACAAGTCCATCGATCTCATCAATTGTCATAGCGCAAATCAAATATGGAATCGTATTCGCTCGAGACATTATATCAACAAGCAATCGTTCAGTTTCACCAACATATGGGCGATTTAATTCGCCAGCAGCTAGAGCTGTTGTAGTCATCGTAATACCAGCAAATGTAGCTGCTCGTTTTAATAGTTCAGATTTACCTGTTCCTGGAGGTCCATAGAGAAGTAATCCTCGTCCGTATTTAACATTTAATTTTTTTTGTGCTTCAATTGGATCGATCTTGAGAAAAGTCGTTAAGCCTCGAATTTTTTCTTCATTTTCAGCAATTGTATTTTTCTTTCGACGTATGGGTTCAGTGTGTACAGCAAGTTTGGCTTGTGCAATTTCCAATTGACGTTGCACTTTTTCAACGTCCTGCGTAGCTTTGCCTACTTTTTCTTTTGCTTGGTCTCGTTTTCTAGTCCATGCTGTTAGATCCTGACTCCAATTTAAGGTAGCTGCTTCGGCATTGAGCTTTTCAGCTTCCTTCAAGGCAATTTCTTTTTCTTTTTCAGCATTGATAAAGTGCTGTTGGCAAACTCTAACTTTTGTTTGTGCTCCTTTAGCTTCTTCTTCAGAGATTAAAATTTCCTTACGAAATGTTTTAACTTCTTCTTCCAATCTTTTTTGTTCGTCAGTCCATTCTTGCTTTCGCTTTTTGTGTGCTTCTAAATCGATGTTTTTATTTTTAATACAAAATGTTTTTAAATATTGATGAATATTGTGTAGAACATTTCCATCATCATCATATGTTTTTCGAATTTCATTAATGGTCTTATCCACTGCATCAGGATCAAGATAGGGTATATATTGTTCTGTTTTAGTAACGTAATGAAAATAACGTCGAATTCGATGAATGTCACCGATTAGAGTTGCATCGGAATCTTTATAGAGGCTTTGAGTTTCTTGAGATTTGCTTGAAGAATCATTCAATTGAATATAATCTCGTATCATTTGTTTAATTAACAGTTTGGGTGATTGCAGACTCTCCCAACATCTTTCATTAGCTACTGCACTGCGAAGATGCTGAACAGTAGTAATACTTTCCTCTAGAAAAAATAGAAAAATATTCATTCGTTTGGCAGAGTTAATGATTTGTGTAGCTTTATAGAAGCCAAGATTGAGCATTCATAAAATTCAAGTCGATCTCAAATGTAAATAGTCGTACCTTGAAGTGCTGTTAACCAACTTGTGACACTGTTTTCGTCGCGTTGATTTTGTCGACAGATAGTTTTTAGAAAACTTTCGAGTGTAACATCTTCCTTTTTTGTAGACACTGTAGTCGAGCTTGCAGTTTCCGGCGATGTAGTTATTTCGTTTTGAATATTTTTAACAACCACATGAACTTGTGTTTTTGAATTTGTTTTCCAGACAGGAGGAAATTGAAATTTACTATCGTGGTCACATTGATAGTCGAGTGCAAGGAGTGTTAGTAAATAATTGAAATTCCACGGTCCAAATGCGTCATTTCTTCGTGTAAACAAATTCGGTTGATAGATCAAACGCACGCTTTGATTGCTCATATCAATTGGCCCCCGTGTTGATTCGAGTGCATATTGATGAAGGGTTGAAACATATTGTCCATCAGCGCCTTTGTGAAGATTTTCATTTGGTTGCTTTAATTCTTCTATGAATGCTTCTACTTGTTTGCCTTTGTCAAATTTAATATAAATATTCAGAACAATCGAATTTAAAGTAACCGGTTCCAATGATGGAAGTAATTTTTGTACAACAAAATTGATTGTCGTGTCTGTTGATCTTTCTTGAAATGCTTCCGGGGTAAAGTCATCATCAGAACTATTGTCTGACATTTTTTAAAGCTAAATGTGCAATTATCTATAAAAAAAAAGCAAAACCATGATAATTAATGTAAACAAAAAAAAACTATTTATGTTGAGTAGTTGTTATCCGAAAGTTCAACTTCCAAAATAAATACTATAAAATAAAACAAAGCAAAAATCGCTCAAGAATAAAGAATAGAAAGCAATGGAAAATGGATTATTCTAGTCAAGCATATAGATGCATAGATCATGTTAGTTTATTTTCTTGTTTTTTCACAACGTTGCTGTTAGATACTGTTTGCAGAACAGGTTGGTTTAATTTATTAGCATTTTTGATTTTCTCAATATTTTCTATTTTCTCAGCATATTGATTCGTCCGTTCGTCATAGTCTGCCTGAAGTTGTAACAATGCGATATTAGCTTTTTCAAGGCGTTCCAAATTGTTCTTTCTTGCTGCTTCGGTTATGTCTGCGCTCTTGTGGCATTCGTCGAGCTCCTTATTTAATTCACTGTAACTCTTATTTTTATTGTCGATTTGTTCGTTGATGGATTTTATACTTTCCTTCATTGTTTCGAGATCTTGCTGCGCTTTTTCAACTGTTTGCTGTGCATTCTGTAACCTTAATCGCTCAGCATTAATATTGCCAGTAGTTTCACTGACTGCAACTTTCTTTTCATCAATTTGTAGATTGTGTTTTTTCAATTTTTCTTGAACGAATTGTAAATTACTTGATATTTGTACATCTCGTTTCTCTAACATTTCAGCATTTTGGCGGAGGGTTTCGGCCTTATTCTTTTGTGCGAGATAGTTTCGATTAGCTTCACGATATTTCTGTTCGGCTTGAACCAAGTCGGCTTTAGATTGTTGAAGTTCTTGACTAAGCGCGACTTTTTCGTCTTTCAGTCGTTTACTTTCTATAGCAACGTTTTCCAAGTCTGTTTTGGTCACAACCAATTGTTCTGTAAGAGTTTTCAAGTTTTCTTTCTTCGTACTAATGTCGTTCTTCAATTCATCAGCTGTTTTCAATTCTGATTGAAGTACTTCGTTTTGATATGTCATTTCTCGGACTCTGGCCTTTTCCGTGTTGGTTAAATCACCATGTTGACGTTTCAGATTTTCGTTTTCACCTTAAACGAAATGCCTCCGTGTTATTATATGAAAAGTATCTTATAGATAAATATTAGATTAGAAGTCTCGACTATCATGCGAAAGATATTAATTCGAATTCGTATAGTAAGAAATCACATACGTATATATGCACATACCTTTCAGAAGTTGTATCTTAGTTTGTTCTAGTTGACATTGGAGTTTATTTTCCATTAAAATTCCTCGTCTCTCTTCCATGAGAGTGCGATGTTCATCAATAGTTCTCTGATGCCGATTGATATCATCTCTCATCTGCTCTGCATTATTTTTCAAGTCATTAACTTGATTTCCATGTGTTGCCTTTTCTTGTTCATATCGTTGTACTTCATTAGTAGTACTGGCAAGTTGTGTCTGAGCTTTTTGAAGATGAATAGAAGCCATACGAAAGCTTGCTTCTGTTTGTTGTTGTCTTCGAAGTGAGTTTCGATGTTCTTCACTCAAGCGATCGGTCTTTGCTTTACACACGTTAAATTGTTGAAATTTCATTACGGCAGTTCTTTGCTGACTTGCAACATCTTTTCTTGCATTTTCAAATTGTTTAACAGCATCCTTACGATTAGTTTGTGCTTCTGAGTGTTTATTGCGAAGGTCATTTACTTCTTTCTTTTTGTCATCGTATCGCCTACTAGCTGCATCCAGTTCATTGCGAGCTCTGTTTACTTTTTGTACTTCGCTTTGGGCGAAACCTGATAACGGCGGAAAGATCGCGCCAACCAAATTCCACAACGTTTCTTTTGACTCCATACCAGGCAGTCGAGATTTAGCAGCGTTCATCTCTCTTTCTGCTTCTCTCTCTTCATTAATAGCTCGATCAAGTTGTGATTGAATACGTCTTTCATCACTTATTGCCTTTTCACGTTGACGATCTAAATCACGTTCTTTTTGTTGTGCATTTTGCAACGCTTTCTCAACTTCTTTATGTTCACTTTCGGCCGTTTGTCGCTCTTGGATTGCAGCTTCTTTTTGTTCACGTAAGACATTCGTTTCATCAGTTTGTTTAATTTTTTGATCTTCCAATCGATTACGTTCAGTTTCAAGTGATTCGAGCGCTGCTGTTTGCTGTTCCTTTTGCACTTGTAGCTGTGCCAGTTTAGTTTCAGCACGATTAAATAAATCCTCTATCGCTGATAACTTTTGTTGAAGTCTGTTGAGTTTATTTGTTCGATCAGTTTTTTCGTTTTCCAGAGTTTGAAGCGTTTTTTCAAGTTGACGTTGTTCCATCTCCAACGCTTTCCGCTCTCTTTCTAGTTCTTCAAATTTCCGCTCACTTGTGACCATTTCTTGATTGAGTTTCTCGATTTTTTCCCTAACAGTTTCGATTTTTTCTCGTATTTGCTCAACTTCTTTTTCTAAATCTTTTATTTTCTCTTGCAAATCGCGAACTTCTTGTTCAAGACGAGCAACTTTAGCTTCCTTGTCTCGCAGAAGTGCTTCCAAGTTAATGATATGGGCATTTAGTTGATCGATTTGCTTTTCTAAATCTTTTCGCTGATTTTCTAACTCACGTTGTTTTGCCATTAATTCTTCGAGTTGTTTTTTATTTCTATTGATATTTTCTTCGATGCTTTCGATTAATTTTCGAAGTTCTTCGACTTTTTTTTCACATCTTTGACGTTCGTCTATCGCTTCCGAGAGAAGATTTTCGTTTTTGAGAAGTTCTTCTTTGACTTTCTCTAATTGGCGCCGCAATTCAGCTTGAGTCGACTGTATTTGAGACATTTCTTTCTTAATTACTTCTTGTTCCTTGCCGAGTTCAACTTTTTGTTGTTCATGTAATTTAAGTTCACGCTGTAAATTATCAATATTTCCTTGATATTCATCTAATTTTGATTTTTCAAGATCAGCGGCATTGAATTTTTCTAATTGTTCTTCGTACAACTTTAATTTGTTGACCTCTAGCTTTCGTATTTCTCCAATTTGTTCTTCCGATTTCCGTAGTATATCATCGCTTTTCGCAAATATATTATCGAACGCTTTCTGATTATCTTCTACTTTAGTTACTATTTTATCTTTCTTCTCATTAAGCTTCTTCGATTCTGTCTCGAAATGTTGATCATTGTCATACATATTCTTCATCGGTTGAAACAGTTCTGGTGGCAATTGATCCCATGAACTTTTTGCCATAGCTAAATATTTACTTGAGTAAAAATAAGGTTTATGCTAAAATCATAAATCTAGAAAAAACAAGTATTTACTTACGAGGGAACATTACCAAGTGATTCACACCGTTTGGTCTAATATTTTGCTCATTGAAAGGATCCAATGAGATTAGGAAAATCCTAAAAGATTTCGTGTCATTAGATCTTTCCTTCGAAGTTATGACCGTTTTACTGAATTTTCGACCTTGGACAAGGAATTTATAGAAAAACTGTATGAAGGAATTTCGAACTGAAATTTTTCCTAACAATAGGTCTCATCGATGTTAGAACATTCCAAAAATTTCAGTTAGAACTGATACTTTCTTTTAGAGATATTGCAGATTCAAGAAAACGGCCATGCTCCAAAAATTATCGTAAAATTGACTTTTCTTCAATCTGCAATATCTGTAAAAAAAAGTATCAGCTTTAACTGAAACTTTTGGAACGTTCTAACATCGATGAGATCTATTGTTAGGAAAAATTTCAGTTCGAAATTCCTTGTCCAAGGTCGAAAATTCAGTAAAACGGTCATAACTTCGAAGGAAAAATCTAATGGCACGAAATCTTTTAGGCTATTCCTAATCTCATCGGATCCTTGCTATGAGCAAAATATTAGAGCAAACGGTGCGAAACACTTGGAAATAGTCCCTTGCTAGGATAATAAAAGTGTGACTGACACGGACTAGAGAAACAAGTACGAACACGTGCAGCAACAACGACCAAGGTCGAAAAATCTGACACAAGATCACATGAAACACATACAAGATACGGGCGAAATCTTACAAAAACCCGACAAAAAAATCGTAGTTCCTGAGATCTTAGATCAGGTCAAACAATCATATTCTTGAAAGATCTTACACATTAATACAATCTTTGAAGAATCTGATTGTTCGACCTGATCTAAGATCTCAGGAACTACGATTTTTTGTCGGATTTTCGTATGATCGTGGAAGATCATATAAGATCAGATGCAAGATTTCATGAGATCTTACAATATGATTTCTCGAACTAGGGAGCTATGAGCGCATCATCATCAGTAAGATATCAGCAGCTTTTATTTGTACAAAAACAGGAAACTTTTTTTTCGTTTGATTCCAGTGTTAGATTTTTATTAGCATTGAACTATTTACATTGAATGATTCCTTGTCCCTATACAATAACGTGTATATGAGCCAGTCCATATAAGCCACGACCTGCCCAACAGGGACCTTGCTCAATCGAGATCGTCAGATTTTGCTCAATTTTGGATATGTTGTAGAGGAAATAATTCTTAGAATTTTGCCGAAAGCCGATTTAAAAATATTCATCGCTCTATCTTTCATGAACATTTTACGAAAAGCCCTAAAATGATAATCCTCATCAAGGTGGGTCCTAAGGTGATCATATCTCATGAACTACTCGATCGGTTAAGCTGGAATTTATTTTAGATATACAACTCAGTGAGTTCTATTCATCATAAAATTTTTGCCTGAAAATATTGAACCATTGAAATTTTATGAACCACAAAATATATGCGAAAAAATCCTTTTTTGGTAAGTTTGATGCCTCATAATTTTTCATCGGAGTTAGCTAAAGGTTTGAAATTTTTAGCATGAATAGAGACCTAAAAGATCTATCATCTCTAGAAATTTCAGCTCGCTAATTGAGTCCTTTTTGACAGAACAGTCGTCTCAAAAGCAGATTTTTGATAAAAATGGCGACTTTCAGGTTAGGCTATCTCCCAAGAAATAGAATTTCTAGGGAGCTGATATGTAAAATCTAGAAATAGTCTCTGCGGACTACAACCCTAGAAAAAAATTAGCATGGGATCTGCACGAATGGCTGCAGGAGACCTATTGAAAAATCTCAAAAAATGAGCTGTTTCCTAAAGGAAATATGCCCAAGCTCAACCCAAAATTCCTGAAGCTCCTTTAATATATGTGATGATTTGTATTTAGAAAAAATCAGCATAAAATTCTCTATTATCCGACGCAGAAAATTTTTTCAAAAAACCGCGGTAATCGCCGGTCACAAAAACCGCGGTTTCGGCCGGTATTTTCGAATAGCGAAAATCAGACCATCTATGCGTATCTCTAACACCACCCAGAACCGCGGTTTAGAGATACGCATAGATGGTCTGACTTTCGCGGTTTTGAAAACCGAGAAAAACCGTGGTTTCGAACAACGCCGTTTTGGGTGTTTTTTTTGAAATGCATAAATGGTCTGGCTACCGTTACATCCAAAAACCGCGGTTTTTTTCGATACACTAGACTCAATAGGAGCAGGTGTACCGAACATAACCTGTACCTTGAAAGTTTCAGGTGTAGCGCCCTTCGAGGGGCAGTGTATTGAACTCTCCCGAGCTCCATTTCCACAAAGTGTCTTTGTAGAGTTCTTATATTATGTATGTGATATAAGTAAAATTTGCCAGAATTTATGGGGCATATCGAAGGTCCTTAAACATTCCTTGACACTTTGGTATGCACCGCGATTCCTCACATGCAAACCGCTGTTTTCAGAACCGCGGTTATTATCGAGTGCACCGCGGCTTAAAAAATCGTTAACAACCGCTATATTCAGAACCGCCGTTGTTACCGAGTACACCGCGGTTTGGAAAACCGTTNCATCGCGGTTTGGAAAACCGCTGATAACCGCTATAATGAAAACCGCGGTTATGAGTGTGCATACCGCGGTTTTAAATGGGATCAAAATAATACCGCGGTTTTCTCGGATCAAACCGCGGTTTTGTATAATTTTTTTTCCGTGGGTGTAATTACACAATGACATTATAATTCAACATAAGGCTAGACTATACGAAATTTACTTTTGCAGTTTTTTCTGCAAAAGTAAATTTCGTCAAAATGGTAGTCTCCCTTTATATTCATTGTGTAGTTATTTTCGCTGCTGTTAAAAACAAATGATTTAGAAATTTATCAAAGTCGTTCAAATACTTATAATAAAATATGATACAATATTCCTTCCGTTTTGCGTCGTCTAGTTTTCCTTGTGCTCAAATAAATTTATAGGATAACAAACTTGTTCATTTCCAATTTATTTTGAGTAAGCTGATAGGACTATAGATATAATTAGTGGTTAAATGTAGATAAGTAAGTACACCTTGATGCTGGAAAAGAATGCATGAGCAAAAGTATTGTTCTTAGAAAATGAGGTTCGAATTTATTATCGATTCTCTAAACTCTTTGTTTCGTTCTAAATCCTTTTTAGTAATTACCCAATATTGTACTATGTCTTGCAGGTTTAATTAATTCATTACACCTATGCAACTACATTTTAGAAATTAATCTTGTCTATCAACCAATCATTTATACTGAAAACTAGCGCAAGCATAACCTGAGAATAAGGTCTTGAAAGACAGAACTATAAATAGTTGTCACAAATTTTATACAACTCATATACGATTGATTTAGCATAAGATTAATTTATGAATGGTTTTACTTTCTATGTACGATATAATTGAATGCGAGCTCAGATAATTCTATAGCTATATTATTTAATGTTCTAGAGAAGCCACTTTGTTGCTATTTATATGTTGAACACTTATTTTAAACGTGTTCATTTTAATTGATTTAGTCAATCATATTCGAATAGTAATACTCGTAACGTTTGAATACTTTCCCTTTTTAAAACACAATACAGTGATGACAATGACGATACTTACTTACTTTGTTTTGCTTTGTGTATGACTACTGTCTATTTTTTCTTAAGTATATTTATTTTTCTTCTACAGTTTATATAGAAAATATTTGATTGAAGAGGTAAATACGTCACCGTGTTTTTGTGAACAGTGTGCATTATTATAATTCAATCTGATATGTATTTTCGATATATATCTCTACCAGCTTGTTTACGACGCATGTGATAAAAAGACAAGATGAGTACTATTGAAAAAACGTCCTTCATATACAATAGCCTAGTCGTTTTTTCTTTCGTTCTTTCATAGTTATGATTTTCGCTTTTTTTCATACTGTACACACATTTTGATCAGATGCAGATTCAAAAAAAGTAAGTAACAGAACAATCGAGATTGATTGATTAGAACCTTGCTTTATGATTAAGATCAGGAAAGTAAATAAATACGTTGCATATATTTATTGGTCATAATAAAATCAAGAGAAAAACGCTTACATTGCAATTTTCTTGATTGAATTCGAAGATTACAAACAGAATGAAGATCATTATTCTAGAAAAAAAATTCTTTGTGTGGGATTGGCATAGATCGAATTCCTGTTCAAATTCTTAAGAAATTTGTTGTCAAGGGTGACTCAAATCGTGTTGCAATTTGTGATATGATTCAATTCAATATAATTTAAAAGAATTTATCTTATAACTCTTATACACCGTTTAGTATGTTATTATTATCAACAAAAATTTCAAACTTCATGTACTGTGAGTACTCATAAAGGCGTGGTCCACTGAGACAATACTTTGAGTGTGATCGTTCTGATATCTAGCTACATCAATTTTGATTTCTTTCAATCAAATACTATAGATATAAATCTTATGCAAATAAGAATTCACAATAATCATATATAGTACTCCGGTATGAGAAAATTATTTTTTGAAGCACTGAGCCATTGTAGATTTACCATCAGCAGTCATTAATTCGTTTTATATGCCTTTTAAAATGATTTGCCATTTTTTTAAAGGTCTATAGTCAAGTTCAAATTTCTTAAAAATATATTAGTGTGACGTAGAAACTTTTTAATACAATCATCATGAACTACACATAGCATAATAAATGATTAAGATGGCGGTATTCAATGATTGCTATAGAGGTTCGGTGTCTTTTTTAGCTTCATATTATATAAACTTAATATTTTCGTCTATGAAAATGATTGAGAAAATGAAAGGAAAAGCTTTTCAGCGCAGCCCCGTTGGGGCTAATATGTGGAACTCACATATTTCGGTCAGTTAGATACTGATCAAATAGAAGTTTTATTTTTTCAGTATAGTGAAATCATATTTTGTTCAAAAGTAAGATAATAA